GAGAGTCCTGAGCATGTACGGCATTGTTAATAATGTGCTTGGTTTACGAATATACAAGGATACGTGGCTGCAAAAAGCAGGCTCTCCTACAAGGCAGCTGATCTGCTGCCTCTCACCAGATTCCAGAAAGAGGCTCTGTATGGCCCCAGGGTGCCTTCAGCTGGCTCATAGCTCCCTCCCTCCCTCTTCCAAACTGCTGTTTTAGCTTTCTCCCCCTCTCCACTCTCTCACACACTCATGCATCCACCTCCTCATCTGAATGGCTGTCCCTAAACTTCAATAGACATCTCAATCAAAAACATAGAGATGCTCAGCTCTTTCCTAACTACCAGCTACCATTGAGGAAACAGTGTAAAAAAACCAATTGTCTTGATACTGGCACTATGTAGATTTAATTCAGGTAAGGAAGATCAGAGCCAAGTCAAAGATGACTGACCAATGAGTAAAAGGAATTTTTTCTAACTTCTGGTATTGTTTACACTCATTTGCATCGCAGCAGTTACCATAAAGTTAACCCTTTTTAAAGCAACAACCATCTGATTTATTTATTTTTAAGTTTATCGGCCAAAGAAATATTTCTGGGGTGATAAATTTAGCGTGCGGCATTGGCAACAACTTGTTTTGGCAGTGACACACACACACAGCATTTCTGAATCATCTGACATCATACTAGCCACTCTACTGAGCAGCACATTGTTCTTTAATCCAGAAACTGAGATGCACAAACAGGCTGGCAAAGCGGAGAAACAGAATGCTGCCTCTTGACCCGGCCCACATCTTCGTGTCAGATGAAGTTAGTCACACATCAGAGTGAACTTTTTCTTCTTCCTTTCATTTAAAAAGCTTTGTTAAGCGCCCATGATGTCAATCAAGGAAGACTTTCTTGAATGCTGTAATGGAAACCAGACTTTTGGGTGATGTGGCTGTTTAAATAAAGTATGATTTAATGTGTACAGCTTGTCATCATACCATATTCATGGGAAGGATCCTGCCACAGATTGTTCAAGAGAGCAGTATAAGCCCAGGCACATCTTGTTTGATGTAGACCTCAAGACTGACATCAGATTCTTGGTTGTTCAGTGCATCACTCTTAGTTTGCTGACTCTGCTCCAGACAAGAATGGGAGCTTGATCAGGAGAACACGCAGGGGAACTGCTATGTGCTAAATAAGACCATGGTTCCATCTACTATTTACTCCTAATAGCAGCCAGTATGGAGTATTTTGCTTATTACATCATGCAATGCCCCTTTAAAAAACGAGCATGTGGCAATTCCATTATGAAATGCCCAGTCTGGAAGAAGCCTCATCATTTCCTAAGAAACAAACCTTATTTGTTTGTTTTATTTCATGGGCTAAAAGATCTGGATATATGTTGACTTCTGAAAGTTTTAGCATTTGGTGGAAGTGGGACAGACCATGAGATTCAAAATGCACAATTGTATGGCCTCTGAATGTAAAAATGTCATTCCTTGGCAGTAGAAAAATGTCTATTTGATGTCTATATTTTCCTTTTAAACTTTTGCTGGCGTGCTACCAGACTCCATGGAACAGCCTCAGCTATTTTCCAGTCCTCCCACCTATGCTGTAAGTAGGTTTTAACATTTCCAAAAACGTTGCGAGCTAAACCCAGGTGCAAATGCCAATGCATGAAGCAGATTCCACCATGGTGCAACAAACCTATTACTTCTACCAGTTTAGATCACCTAAAATATACATATAAGTAAGATAAATGCACTTAAAAAAATAAATATGCAAAATCTTTCTACCTAGTGAAAGATGCAGTGATAGACGCAGTTACAAGGGAAGAGGATGTGAAAAACCACTTGAACTATTTATAGTTGTGGAAATTAATAGACTGCGCCTTCAGCGATGGGAAGAGAAGAGTTGGCAGGTCTACCTCCACTGTTAGAATAGCAGCTGCTGGGAACTGCAGGTGGGCAGAGTGCTGTTGTGCCAATGTCCAGCTTGCAGGCTTCCCACAGGCATCTGGTTGGCCACCATGAAAACAGGATGCTGTACTAGATGGTCCACTGGCCTGATCCAACAGGCTTATGTTCTTATTGTTGAGAGCTTGGGAGCAACTCGGTTTTCAGAAGAGGGGTTTAGTGTAACATGAGGATGCACCTGCCATCTGTCCAAATTGCAAACAGGGAGAAAATCTGTAGCTAGCTTTACTCTTTACTGAGAGCCAGTGTAGTGTAGTGGTTAAGAGCGGTAGTCTTGCAATCTGGTGAACCGGGATCGTGTTTCCGCTCCTCCACATGCAGCTGCTGGGTGACCTTGGGCCAGTCACACTTCTTTGAAGTCTCTCAGCCCCACTCACCTCACAGAGTGTTTGTTGTGGGGGGGGGAGGGAAAGGAGAATGGTAGCTGCTTTGAGACTCCTTCAGGTAGTGATAAAGTGGGATATCAAATCCAGACTCTTCTTCTTATGCTTAAGAACATAAGCAATGTGATAACAGGGTCAATTACCTATGGCAGGGGTCAGCAAACTTTTTCAGCAGGGGGCTGGTCCACTGTCCCTCAGACCTTGGGGGGGCAGACTAAATTTTTTTTTAAAAAATATTGATGCAAGAGCACCACAAGCCCTGGTGGCTGCTTACCTGTGTCTTGTGACGGCGGCAGCAGGACAATGAATGGCGCACAAAAGGGCTCTGGAGAGGGGCTGCTTAAAATGGCAGCTGCTCAAGCACTGCTGCCGCTGGCACCAACAAAGCCCAGCCCCCTTCCTCCTCTAGGCAGGGCGGGGAGAAGCCAGGAGGAGGAAGGGAGGGAGGAGGCACTGCCGCCGCCGTGTGAGGGAAAGGGAGGGAGAAGGAAAGAATGAGTGCGCTAGTGATCCACACGGCGATTCCTGGACCGTCCGTGGGCCGGATCCAGAAGGCAATTGGGCCTGATCTGGCTCACAGACCTTAGTTTGCCAGCCCATGACCTATGGAAACCCTTCTGATATGCAAAGCAAGCAGCATTTAATGTAGTGGATCTTGGTTAGAGAGTAGATGGTACTTGTTGCAAGCACACAGAAAGAGAGATGCTTGCAGGTAAGAAAACAATGTTGGAAACATATGACCTGGATAGAAAAGTTTCTAGTTCTAGTCTAAGTAACAAGGCAGCCATGCTTGCTCCTTTGTTCTCCCGGAGGATAGCTAAAGATGACTTCTCTGGTTCCAGGTTGAATGAAATCTAAGCTGTCAGGCATACTATAAGGCACGAAATAAACAAGAATCCTTTGCTTTGGTGCAGACTGGTCTAAGTTGCTTTCTACCTTTAGCTTTGTATTTGATTTATTATTTGCAGCACGCTACAAGTACTTTCTAGGTGTCAAGCTGCACCGAATGGTGCAATCAATTGATGACAATTTACTACTCTTGATCATTAGCCCTTAAGTCTTTATCATTCGTTGTAGATGCTGCGGCAATCAAAAAAAAGGGTGGAGGGATCTTTTGATTTCCTCATAAAGGCATTCCAAGAACTTTCAATCTGCAACTGTGGTTTTCGACAGCTTCATCTCAGTGTTTACGTGTCTGCCATACGTTGCACATATTGCTGTAAAGCACGCACACATTGTTGCATGTGTTATTGTGAGCCTAGAGGTTTTAGCAAATGTAGCTAAAGCACAACAAATGGAGCTTTGTAGATAGCCAAAAGATCACAAAAATACATGGTGCCTCATGGCAGCCTCCTATACTTTGCCAGAGAACCAAAGTTCAGATCTGCCCAGATTGCTATTAAAATGCCCATGCTACTAAAGAGAAGTATGGTTGCATTTCTCATCCTGTACACATCTGTTAGGCTTTTGTGAAAGCAGCCAGTCTCTTCAAAGCCCCTCACTGCACAAGGCTGGGGGCAGCGGAAATGAATATCCCATTGTTGGGGGCGGGGAGGGAGGCTTGAGTCCTTGGAGTGAGTGCATCTTGCATCAGCACTGGCAACTTTGATTAACCAAAGAGGGAGAAGCATTCAAATATACATATCACAATGAGCAACTGTACTTGTGCGTGAATGATTATTCTGCCCCCTCCTCTAGTTTGATAGACTCTTGTCAGCTAAAGTTTCCCACAATATCCAATTTAAAAACTGCTAGGCATGTTCTGTTGCAGGGGCCACCAACCTTTTTAGGCCAATGGGCCTATTGGGATTTTTCAACCAAGTGCTGTTGTCAGCCCCCCACCCCATTTCTGGACAATGCTCTCCCACCTCCTCTGGACCAACTCCTCCTCCCCCAGAAAGAGAACGAAAGAGATAAAATGAAGCATTTCTGCTTTGGCTCTATGTACTTTTCAAGGGGGAAGCAGTGCTCTGAGGCTTGATGCGCACCGGGAGAAGATCTCAAGTGCTTCTACCCATGGGCACCACATTGGTGAGCCCTGCTGAACTGCACAGGAACCATCAGAAACTTAGGACTTTGAGATGCTTGACCACATAAGGCTCCTAACTCTGCATAATAGGAAAAGAAGAATGATCTTCTTCGTTGCTCCTTTGCAGGCTCAATGTTACAGAAACGATAAAACTGAGGATACAAGCAACTTTTTTGACTAAAGAAATGCACCCACACCACATCTTTTAAAAGAGCACTTTGTATTTTTTTGGTTAAAACTGCACGCCCTAGAAATACAATAAAATTAAATTTTTTACATTTGGAATAAAAAATATGGTTCGATGACAAATCTTTTAACATCTTTTAAAAAAAAATGGTGGAAGTTCAGAAGGCACGTGGCCAAAGTGCCCAAACACTGAAAGCATGAGCAGGGAAGTTTGGGTAGTTCTTTCAGAAACTGAAAGAGAGCAGGGAAATGAGAAATGGAGAAACAGCCTCCGAGCACCAATAGTCAAAAGAGCTCCCTTCTTCCATCGATAGCCACTGCCTTTATTTATTTAAATAAATAGTGCCATCATTGTGTTTCATAGTAGAGTAGGAGTCATTTCTTAGAAATGAACTGGACGATGCACAAAGTTGTGGTGAGATGGGGAAACCAGCTGACTAATGCCCGGGATGGTTTCAGTCGACTTCTGTTGTCCCACATGGCCTTAAGAACTCATTTCCTCTTTCATGAAACCACTTGTTTGATACTGTAAACAATAAAAGTTTTCGTTAGAACTGGGGCACCAGGCCCGTATGCAACCGTCTCACGTTGGGCACTGCGGAACAAAATTTAGCTGAAGCAGCAAGGGGAAAAACTGGTTGAATTGCACACATTCCTCCATTTATTTCCCCCTTTGCCACATATTATAGACAGTAGAAACGAGATAAACACACTGGAACCAACCCCAAATCTAGATCTTGCGATGCTTCAAAATTAAAGGTCCGATGCATCCCACATGTGCATGCAGGATGGGGACTGGGAAAGGACTCGACTGAGCTCTCTCTTTCCCTTTCTGCCTGGCCTTTGACCACAAAAAACATGGGCACTCATGGGAGTAACTTGTGCTCATGACCCCGGGGGTGAAGAGGGAGAGCTGGGTGCATTCTGTTATGATGGCATGCCACACCCAAGGGCCAGCGGAAGGGACAAAGGTTCCCCACTCCTGCCTAGTGCTTAGTGAGCCTGTCCTAAAACCAAGGACCTGGGAGTCTTACTTACCCCACTTGCACCCTACTAACACCGGACATGCTGCATGCCGTGTCCGGTAATCACCTTCTCCACTTCTGAAGAGGTTATACCAAAATACCGCAGTCCCCTGAAAGTAAAAGAAAAGTTTTCACTGAAATAAAAAATACTATTTGTGCATGTTTTCCTTCATATGCCACCAAACCTATAGCTTACATTAATACAAGAAGACCACAATCATTTCCAGTCACCTCCTTGCTTATAAATTTCTCTGTTCCCACTTTTAACAAGCTTGCAAAGGTAGCATCGTTTGGCCCAGTTCCCACGTCACACCAATCCACCATTTAAAACAAACTATGGTTTACTGTGAACAAGCAGCATTCTGGTGCATGCCGAGTGCAGCCAATACTAAAGGGGACTGCTGTCAGCACCAATCACTGGACAAGTGTCCTGGGAACATCTGTGCAGCATGCACCAGAATGCTATTTGTTCACAGTAAACCATAGCTTGCTTTAAATGATGGTTCGGTGCTGCATGGGAACTGGGCCAATGTCTAGAAAGTTCCTGAAACAGTGAACATCATTCAGGCAGGGAATGATTTTAAAATTCAGGCAGATGCTTCCTGAATCAGATTTAGCAGACGGCCTGATTGCATTTTTTAATTAGTAGTGCTGGAATGTGCTTGCTTTTAATCATTTTGCATTGCAAATCTAAGCCCAGAAATCACTACCACATTTGTTAATCAAGCCAGTTGCCACACCATATGGTCAACTGGGCAGGAGGGGTGCAGAACACAAACAAGACTGGGAAATATTTAGAGCGAAAACAGTGGTCATAGCAGTTTTAGTGGGAAAACATGAGTAATAGACAAGTTCAGCTGTTACCTTCTTGGGCCAAATTGCTGCTCCAAAGTCTGGGAAAACTGTGGCACCTCCAGCTTCTACATCACTCATCTGGGGGTGGGGAGAATATCCATAAAAGTCATCGATGATTTGTAAGACTGCACAGATTAATGTATCGTTTCCTCTATAGAAATGTTAAGTCAGTTACTGCTGTCTGACTTTTAAAAGCTTATAAATATGAGATGCCTAAAATCAATGGCTAACAAGGGAGTCTAAAATGCTTGACAAGCCACAATCCATAATCTAGTTAATCAGAGCAAAGGGTCAATTAGATTATGGGTTGTAGATTGATCTGGATAAATAAAAGCATTTTTAAGGACCCTCCCCCCCTTGTTAGCCAGTGGTTTTAGTTATCTCATATTTACAGGGTTTCAAAAGTCAGACAGCGGTAACTGACTTACAATCTGGCTTAAAAATAGGTATGGTGCCTGCTTTCAATTGAAATTAATAGTGGAATCCTATGCATATTGAAAGCCTCACTGTGATCAGCAGAGCTTATTCCCTAGAATGTGCATTTAGGATTGTAGCCTGAACCCCTTCCAGAATTTTTTTTTTTTTTATGGTACTCATTTGGTGAGAAAAAGCAACATTGCCATTTAGCCACATGTTTCCTTAGCAAATTTGAAGCATACCTTGGCATTGATAACACTGCTCAATTATACATGTCTCAGAGTGAGTCATTTATAGGTCTGACATGTGGCAATAAAACAGACACTGCTCTATTTCTGTGTTAGAGTAATTTCAGGTCAGTGAGCCACCGACTTGTACTGTAATGGAGTGACACTTACTTCCATGCAATGATTTGAATCCTAAGTTACCATTCTGTTTATGCAAGGATTGGGAGGGGGGAATAACCATTTTTGCCAACTACCCCCTCCATCTGCACTATAACTCATACCATTTCCAAGGTCCACCAACCCTCAGGAACGGATTTCCAGGAGTGCAGTTAGTGCAGAGTGAAGTGGGAAACAGAAAATCACTGTTCTGCAAACAGAACTCTGTTCTGTTGATGGAGGTAAGTTAGGACCCAAGCCATTGTCTTTAATTAAGGCAAGGAAGTAAGATTCCCCTAAAGAGGTATAAATCAGATTCAGCTCATTTCAAAGACGAATCCAAAGCCAGTGGCAGCAGTGAGAAGGAAAATATTGTGGCTCTGTCTAGTCAGTGCTATGTGGAATAGCTGATGTGGAGATGAGAATTTTTGAACAAAACAGGTTTGAAGATTCGTATGACCCATTAAAGACTACTAGGTCATTAAAACACTTTTCTAAAGTATGCCGAATCCTCCTTGACTGGGAAGTCAAGGAGAAGGAGGTTACAGCGTCTATGATTAAGTGGTCACAAGATTTTGGGTACTCAATAACTAAGAAGCAGTGGGGAAACCTGTGGAAAATAAACTGGAATTTTACAGCCTGTTACTCTCTGAGAGAGAATTTTATTAAAATGCAGCATCGGTGGTATTTAACCCCTTGGAAACTGTCCAAGATGTTCAAAACTGTCCCAAATAACTGCTGGAGGTGTAAAGAAAAGCCAGGTACTCTATTCCATATGTGGTGGCAGCGTAAAGAAATCAAGGTGTTTGGGGAGGATATCCACAGAGAATTGGAAAAAATGTTTAAAATATCTTTCAATAGGAAACCAGAAGCTTTCCTTTTGGGAATCACAGATTCGGATATTCCTAAAAACGTTAAAGAGATCTTCTTATATGCTATGGTTGCAGCAAGAGTTCTCATTGTGGCAAATTGGAAAAGTGATAAAGTCCCATCAATATCAGAATGGATTCAAAAATTGGCTGAATATGCAGAATTAGATAGCATGTCAGAAAAAAATAAAAATAAACCAAAACAGGTATTTATCTCAAAATGGGAAGTTTTTAAAATATACTTGAAAAATAATAATTGTAGTCTAAGGTCGTTTGCAGCGTTTGAGTATTTTCAGTAGCAGTGTTAAGAATGTTGTAAAACCTATGAATGGATCAAGGGATATTAAACTTGAACAAAACTAGTTATGCAATGGCAGTGAACAAATAATACAGAATCTGTAATAAGGAATAGACGGGAAGTCTGGTCGATAGAAAAAGACCACTTTTATTTAATGATTTGAAGGCTATTAGTTGATGTATTAATTCCCTTCTTTTTTGTTTGGTGGTGATGGAAATTTGTTTTCTTTTTCTGTATGGTGTGTTAAAGTGAATGGTAACAATAAAATCTTTTTTAAAAAAAATACTACTAGGTTGCCATATAGTGGCCATTTTGATATATGCACAGGTATGCCCAGCAAATTCAAAATGGCAATGGCAACATAACACCAGGAACCAGCAGCAGCACTCCACAAGCCCAAAGTCTTGAAAATATGCCCACTTGATTTAATTGGATATTACACAAACACACAGAATCCCTATACTTGCAGACTAGTTATAGCTATACCTGTTGAACCCATTTTTATAATACACAAAGATACTGTAGTGGTCCCCAATCCTTTGGAACTCTCATTCCTCAGCAGTGCAGATTTTTAAACATCTTTATAAATATGTAGATATATTATAATTTATAAATAAATAGTACCTTAATCACAGCTCTTACTGAAACCACAACTATAGCAGTTAGCTCAGCAGAGCAGATTGAATTCTTTGACAAACAAGAAGAAGCACAATGAATTCTCTGTCACAGATATTGTGACTATGTGTTATGCTGAAAAGGAGCAAGGAAATCTCCACATTCAAGGTCTACACTGGATGGCCACAGCACTGAGACCAGGACCAGTTCAACATGTTCTTAAATCACCAGGGTCAGAGCTGAACTACATGGGTTGGTTGTGCATGTCATGTAGAACATGTCGGACTTGCGTTCGACCAAGCGACTCTTCTGGAATTGCCCTCCGACGATAATTAACGACCTGAGCCTTTGATGAGGCTCCAAGCACGTTCCCCTTACGCAGAGTATCCAGCACACAGAAGGAGCCGAGATAGTATGAGGTGCATGGCTAAAGACTTTTATTTCTAATTACGTAGACAGAAAAGAAACATCCTCTCTCTGTGAGAGCAGAGAGCAACTGGGAAAAAAAGGAACAGGAAACCAGTAACGTCACATCTGTCTCCTGTCTTCCGTGAGACTTCCAACAGTATGGAATCTCTGGAATGTAAACAGAGTCTTGTGACTCCAAAGCACTGCACAGTGGCAACAAATAGAAACTAACAGAACAGAGGCATGGAAGTGTGATCTGGATCTGTCTGGTATGTGAACATGTGGACCTGCTAAGCCCACTTTGGCTACATCCAATGCTATTGCTGCAGGGCTGACCCAGGGAGAAGGTGGTTCTCGGGCTGCAAAAAGGTTTAGCCACCCCTGGTCTACAGCCTAGTAAATAACTACATTTCATGCAGTAAGTTGTATTTATGCCAGTGGCATGACAAAGAGGTCTCACTCCACATATACAGGATTGGTCATACTTACATAGCTTAAAAAAGTGGCCACGCGATTCCCAGTCCCTAAATGCTTGAAAACATCAGGTTCCTCTTTCTATAAAATTAAATGAAAGTGAACTGCAAACTTCAAGCACGCATAGAAGGACACAGAGGTACTTACATAGTTAAGAAACGTCGCTAGCCTATTTCCATCCGATTTGAGTGTGTTGTCAAAGGGTCGCTGAAACAAACAAGAACTTTAACCCAACTTCCAAGGTTCCCTGTTTTAGCTTTGGAAAGCGGGGTGTGCAGCCCTGATCCTATGCACATCTATAGTGTTTGAGAGGAAGTTGTCCAATGGGGGTTATCCTAAGGCAATTGTGCACTGAACTTCAGCCTTTAGAACCCCAGGCTAAATAGTTGGCTAGCTTATTTATTAATGTGGCATAGCATACAAGGCCAATATAGCAACTACACCAAGCCAAAGTTTAGTGTTTCATCCTGTGATCAAACAAGGTTTATTCCACACAGGCACCATACATGCTGGCAAGGTGTGAGAGAATTCTTTAGCTGCCCAATCAGCATGTATGGTAAATTTATGGATGACATCCATGACACTATACAGGTAAGTGCTATCTTATGACATCACTGCAATTGGCTGTGCTTTATTCCTAAGATCACAGGTAGCTGGATCACAACTTTTCCAAAATGTGGAAATAAATTGAACTGCAGAGAAACCTGTGGCTGAGCCAACAGACCTGTGATGGAAACTAGAGAGGGTTGTGTGAGTGTGAGTATGTGGCTGGAGAAAGAATGAGCAGAGCTTGTAGCCCTGATCTAAAATCAGCCATGCCCGCATGGCTGCTCCTGAGTGCATAAAAATATGTCAGATCTCATTAGGAATCTCTCTTATCTCTAGTTTGACCCTTAAAAATTATGTATGCTTATCAGGAACACAGAACATCTTTGAAATTGAAATCTTACCCGTGAGAAGTCAAAGTGTGGTTCATACTGCCCTCCCATGCCGTAATTAGCAACCTAAGGTAGGAGGAAAACGACAAAAGAAAAGGTAATGAAATAGAAATAAAAGATTTCTTCTGTAGGTTAAAAGAAGAAACCTAGGTGATCAGTTGTATTCAGTGCTGCTGCTCCACTTAAGCAACAGAAATCCACTTGCGTAACAAACTTGTTCCTCCTCTCCTTTCCTTTGCAGCCCCCAGCACAAACCCTCAAAAATTCCTCCAGGGAGCAGTTCAGTCTTGGACATACAGAGCAATGGTTGATTAAGTCATTCTCATTGAGCAGACTCATTGAAACCAATGGACTTCCAAGTAATTTAAGCTTACTGATTTCAATATATATCTCAGTTGGACTCAAGAGTCTCATCTGATAATGCTGACATAATGGAAATATCAGACAGTTAGTTGGAGATGTAGGGAGAAAGGATTATGAAGTGAAACTGGCTTGTTCATGACTGAATTCCACAATTTTGTCCTGGATGGAGTTCAAAAAACAGCAGCTGGAGGAGACATGGTCTCCATCCACTACTGCATTCACAGTTCCCATTGGCACACTCTGCCCCATGAATCCATAACCTCAGCTCTTCAGCCTGCTCTATCTGCCAGAAACTACAGCATTCCCTAGGATCTGGTACTCCAACGCACTGAACTGAGATGAACCAAACCAATATGGAAACACCTCAGCACTGAAAATCTCTACTGATTCAGATAAGGGCCATAATCAAAAATGGTAATTTATATGTCAGGCTGCTGTGGGGGGTTGCTGATGCAGCACTCCTGGGTGCACATGTGCATTCAGAGACATCCCTTGTGCCCACATGGTCCCTTTCCACCTGCGAAATTAAGCCTTGAAAGAAGCATTCTGTTGCAGCTGGTAGACTAGGCTGCAGTGTGTGCTTGGTTGCAGGGCACGTGTGGTTCCCACAACACTTTCTCCAAATTGCAAATGGGCCCATAGCTCCCCCAAGTTTGGTGACCTCCTGGCTACGACCTGCCCAGCAGGAGGCTTGCAGAATGAACCTAATATTATCTTTCCCTTCCCTCGCCTCCTTTTTTGATTCTGTTTCTGTAAGTTATAAGTTATGGTCCCACAGAGTTAACAAATGCCCCTGCTTCATAAATTGCAGCATGGAGACTGCGGTACTGATTGTCTCCCATGCCTATGGAAGAATAACTGGCAGTGTGCTTTTGTACTTACCTGCAATAATTCAGCTGTTTTCACTGTTAATCCTGTGATCTGCTCCATTCGATGATTCACTTTGGCGATAACAAGATCATCATTTTCCTCCAGCCATGAACTTGCAGAGGAGAAGATTTCACAGAGAAATTAGACCGTTCTCTCCAATCACTGTAAAACGAAGTATATTCCGCCCCCCCCCCCAATCCACAGCTCCCTGCATTTTTTGCTATTCTGGCTGGGGTTGGTGGAAGCTGGAACCCAACAACACCAGGAGATGTTCCCCAATCCTATCCTATTGCTAATCTTTAAAGAGAAGTTGACAAATTGCTTCTGTGAATGCTCAGCATGTGTTCAGTTTACAAAAAAATAAAACCCCCAACTTCTCAAAGTTTCACCTTTCATCAACAGTACTTGGAAATGACTCCTACAGCAATGAGAATGTTAATGGTCCTCGGACAGCTTACCTTTTAGACACTCGGTAGTTTGCTGTAGTTAATACGCCCGTCTTGGGGTCACGTACGGTAGCTCTTGCCAACTGTTATCAAAAGAAAGGCAAGGTTTAATAACTTCAGTAGCACACATACACCACAAAAATTACTGACAAAATTAATACAAGTTGCACCTCCTGTCCTTCATTCACAGCCTTCCCATTTCTGATTCGGATAAAACTCTGTGTAAAAATGTTATGGGTAGATGATTTTATCATGTATACTGAGAAAGATGATATACTGCATTACTGGCAATGATAAATTTATCTCATATGAATTTTAAGCTCCATCAGAAGATTTATATAAACCATACTGTCTAAGAAACAGGTTTCGGAGAACAAAACAAGAGCCCCCAACCTTCAGCTGCAATAAACTCTTGAAGATTACATCTTGCATTAGTCAATGCAACGCAGAAACAAACAGAAAGTGACTATGTAAGAGGAAAGGAGTCCCTCTTTTAGTTTACGGGCAGGGTTGGGTAAGGGCTGATTGCAGAGAAGCCTCCATAACCACCCCTTCCGATGTTTTGTACTGAAACACCCCTCAGCTCCAGCTAGCATGGAGTTGCTGTCCCAAACCTCTGGAGGGCACCAGATTGGGGAAGGCTGCTCTAATGGAGGTGCCAGACACAATGAATGAACACACATTATATCTGCCAATAGGTCTGTACCAATCCTGGTGCCAACTGCTACTGACTGAAACAGACCAGTAAAACCAGGATGGGTGGCACAGTCACAGCACCTGACTAAGCATCACTGCACCAAGCGCCTGTGATAGGAATGGCTTCTTCTTTGAGGCGAATGCATTTAAAAGATGCTTCTGGAGTGCTGCTAGAGTTGGAAGCATCTTTAGTTTTAGATCAGGGGTGGGGAACCTTTTTTCAACCCAAGGATCATATCCCCTTCTGGGAAACCTTCCAGAGGTCATACCTCAGCAGCTGGTGACTTAATAACAGGGCCTTGTTCATATTTGTACTGTATTCATATTTGTGCTATTTGTTTCTCATTAACCGATGCCGCCTGAACAGTTAAAACTGGATACGACAAGAAATATTAAATGCATTTGCAAAACTAGTGTAGCTCAGTGAAGCTGAGGAGGATTAATTATCCTCAAAAAGGGGAGAGGATTCCTAGTATTTCTAATATATCAACGCAAAGGACTTAACTGGGAAAAACAGAGATTGGTACAAAGATTTGGCACATAATTGCTCTGAAAGGCAGCAAATTCTAATACGGAACAGCAGCCTGAGTCAGAACGGGGCTTTGAAGGAGAGCATGGGGCCCTCAGTTGCTAACCCAGAAACAAGAGAAATAAGTGGAGGGAATGGTATTTATGAAGATGGAACTTGCCAGCAATCCATTTTGGGCGATGGTGAGGGGCCCTGGCCCACTAGCCTCCATCATTCCTCAAAGTGACCCTCCAGTAAAACTTGTTTCTGTTCAGCAGTTATGATGCTGCCACATTTATTTAAATCAAACTTAGGCTAAGATTTACTGTGTCCATTACAATCTACACAGCAATAGCTGTTTTCCACCTTATCATTCCCCCCCTTCAGTGTTTGATAATGTTTTCCTCCAGATTCTCTCATATGCTCTGAAATCCGCCTATTAATTTTCTTGTCTCGGCATGCAGTTTTTGGCACAACAAAGTGCCAGAATTCTGACTCATCTGCTATTCTGTTGCAGGCTCTTGCTCCACAAATTATGGCCAGAAATTTGATCTGTTGAACTTTAATTGTACAATGAAGTTTTGCTTACAGTGATTAAAATTCTGAGCTCCATATTTATGCCTGCAATTGTCTTATCCTTGCCATACGGTTCCTATCTGAATGCTTCAGTTGCCATAAACAAGCAAGAATAGAAAATATACAGCCTACATCCTAATATTAACTAGTGATGTGATATAGCTCCTCAGCAAAATTTGGAATCAAGTCAGCGGTCACACGCACCACTGGATTATTGTTGCAGAAAATGTTTACTTTCCCCCTCGAGTTCTGCATTGACCTGTAAAGTCAATTACACCTTCTTATATTAAAATGTCATTGTCTTTATCCAAATGGTGGATGCTAATTTTACCACAAACAGAGCTAAGCAGAAGCCACCAAAGGCTTCAGTAACCACTGGGAACCATTTGCAGATCCTAAGCATTGGAGAATTGTGTAGTCCATGAACATTATTATGAACTCGGCAATTACATATTGAACTTCAGCAATATCACAATAGGCACTGGCATTCCTTTCAGTTGATGGTAGACTGTTGCCTCTGCAGTAAACACTTCTCTACACTCTGCCGTATTGTACAACAAATGGTTATCCAATGAGTACAAGAGCTAGATGAGAAATAAAATTTCCCAACCCAATCACATCTGCATTTGATAAATGTTTTGCAGAGATGATGCAATTAACATTAACGCCAAAAGATTTGTTCCACTATAAATCTTCATTTTTAGCTCACTTGTACTACAGTAAAACAACTTTATTTTAAGCAAAAATATCCAATTCCTTTAGTCTTTCCCCCACAGGCTGAAATCACCATGGTTTCAAAGTAAAACACTTTGTACAGTCCAGAAGTAATGTGATCAGAGTGCATCTCAATTGCTTGCCTAAATACATCAAAGCAAAGTATGAAGAAGCTGTGCATTTTTTAAGACCTGCACACCTTTCAATTTCAAACACCCTGCTGATTCTGAAAAATGAACCTTTCTCAAAACTAAATGTGCCTTCATTTAAAAACTAAAGCTGACTTCACAAGTAAAATTCCATGTGATTAGGAAGTATCTTGGCAATACTGAGTTACTGTGACTTTATTGAACTGTACTAATTGTTTTGATGAATTTGTTGTTGTTTGCTTTATATGCTATTGTCTTTGACAGTATAGTGACTGCAATGTTTGTTGTTCTTTAATGCTATTGTGATTATTGTGGGCCACTTTGAGCTCAACATTTGTTTTTGGTAAAGCAGAATACAAAAATTAAACCTTCTAAATCAACTCAAATATCATGCCAAAGACGGTCATTCTGGAAAAGTGTTGTGCTTCCAAACGCACCTAGAAATGCACCTGGGAAGGATTTCTTTTTAAACAACATACATAGAAAACATGCCTGCTGCTTTTCAAAGTTGATTCAAAGCTAGGCTAAGTTGCTGTTTTCTAAGTATGAGGTAATGATGAACCATCAGGAAAACACCCCAGAGTTTACAGAGGTGAAAGCCGTGAGGCAAATAGAAGAATTTCAGCCAAGGCAAACTGGTTGATGAACAAAGAGTTATTACTTTAAAAGCATCTCCAAAAAAAATCATGCTCTCCAAAAGGTATCTGTTTCTTATTCCATCTCCAGGGGTTTACATTTATTTAGCAATAAAGGTAGAAAAGTTATACTGACCCTGTGCTACTGACTTTCTTTTCTGTTACAGCTGCATGGGCAATAAATGCAATTATAATTTCAGTACCAGAGTCTTGTAGAATGCCACATTATGAAAGAGCTATTTTTTATATATATATTTCATATGAAGGGCCATAGCTCTTGGAAGAGAACATGCTTCAGTGAAAGAGAACCTAGGATCATAGGGTTCAATTCCTGCTATCTTAAGTTAAACGGATTTCAGGTTAACGGGTGATATGAAAGACATCTGAAAGAAACTGTGCAGTGTGTCTCAGTCAAAGTAGACAATACCAAGCTAGACAGGGCAATCATCTCACTCAATGGTTTTCTTAGAATCTTATGCTAAAGTATGGTTTAACATGAAGTCAGTGAGTCTCAGGCACTCTCTCCTTTCCTCTCTTTCTCTGGCATGGCTGCAAGGAAGAGACTGAAAATTTCCACTTCCATTGAAAAAAACCTAACCAAAATCCATCATTATGTTCTTATGTGAGAGGCCAGAGCAGAGTGCACATAAACAAAAAAATGATTGTTTATTGAAACAAGTCAACTTCAAACCATAGTGTATGAAGTTGGCTTGTTTCCTTAAAGTTTAGGGTTGGCCTCAAACCAGAATTAATATTAACCTGTTTAGGGTTTGGACATAGCACTGAAAATGCAAGTGGCATCTTCCTTGGGACAGGGGTAGGCCGTGAGGGTATGCCTTGAAGAAGGGTTAGGCTATGAGGCTGACTTCAGTGTTATGCCCAAACCAGGCCAATACAAGGCAGCTTCATATGTTCTATGAATTCAGTTTTCACTTCTTATTAGAATGGCTTTAAAATTATACGCAAGGGAGCTCAATAAACAACATAAAAAACAATGTGGCTGCAACAGTTATTAAAAAATGGTTGGGAAAGAAAGAAAAAGGGTCAGAGACTGGAAAAGGTCATTCTCAAGTGGTCCAATAGAAATATTTCTCATTTCAGTTTTGTGCCAGGCAGCACAAATTATAATGAATAAAACATTCAAGTCAACATCACTGGTCTAGCGCTGCCACAAATCTCGTACTGTGTGCTTTAACGACTAAAGGAATAAAATATTAGCACCCAGGCCTACTAACTAACTATGGCCTAAAATCTCCTTAACTTGTGCTGTCTGTGTCATTCAGACATAGTTTGGAGCCAAGAATGAAATATAGACAGCTATAAAAAGAAAAGGAGAAAAAAAGAATAAGCAGGAGTTTGTGCCTGGAACAAAAAATACACTTAGAAATGATTCTGCTGATGGGTCAAGGAAAGATGCTCTCTATTCTACAATGGAGTTCCAATGAAGTGCTTTGATTTGACTATGGGTTCACTGGCACATAGACCTATTGCAACTACAGTATGATTGCATCTTATGTGGCAGGGATTCTGCATATACAGGTGACAACCATTTTAGGCATGCCCAATGGATGCACAATCATCAACACATGAATCCTTTGGGACACAGAAAAGGGCAAAATGAAGGCAGAATGGGGTGGGGTGGACTTATGCGTGGCCTGCTGACATGTGTGGGGGCCGGGAACAGAACCCTCATGCAAAATGGTCACCACATGTACGTGAAAACTGTATAACCCAAGCCCTGGAGCCACCCTGCAGATAGCGGAGGAAGAGAAGAGAGCAAAAGAATCCCTAGTACTCCCAGAACCAGTGCCTTGATCTGGTTGTGGCCTTGTCCCCCGAGAAAGGTGGAGAGCTTAAAACCTCCTTATGTGCCCGCTAACTCCAAACAAGACTCAGTGCAAAAAGAGCTTTTAAGCTCTCTGTCTTGCTTGGATTTAACTTGTGCAACTTCAACCAGCTCACCTCCAAACACATATGGCGGAAATTGCTCAAGATAAATGTGTGTAAGATGTGATTATCCTGTAACTTGTTACAACCACTCCTGATGTAGCTGGGACGAACTTTGCTTCATCACAGTAAATCACACTCTTGGAACTAGGACAATGAGTTCTTGACATCTCTAAGTCACCCAAGCTCACTATTTCAATCAAAATATGTCATTAGCCCAGTGAAAGACTGACAAAGACTTGAAGCACTTACTTTTGGTTTAGCCAGCTCCTTAATCTTCTCTATTTCTTCATCAGATAACACGTCATAGTACCTGACAATGTGAGGGCTGTCCCATTCATCTTCTTCTTTAAAAGGTGCTATAAGAAGGTGGGGATTTTGGTTCCCATTGTGGTACCTACAGAACAACCTCTTCTGTCTTCGAGGTGTCTATGAACAAATTCAGATAAATGTACTATTTTGAATGTTGAGTTTAGGTTCAGTCAAGGTTAATTAATCTCTACATATAGACTTCAGGGTTGTGTCTAATATTAATTGAGCAGTTATGCATTTATAAATTGTTGGGAAACCATCTTCAAGAGTACTCATCTGAGAAAGGTTTCAAGGGGAGCTTCTTCAAGAACAGCTTGACAATTCAACTAATGACCAAGGAGTGTGGTGGGTTCTCCCTCACTGGGGATACTGTACCTCTGAGTATCCTGGACTGAGCAGGATGTTGAGGATATGACCCACAAAGGGACCCTCCAACTCTTATTATTTTATATACCATGTTTGGTAGTTATGTCCCCAAGAATCAAATATAGCAACATGATACTTCAACAGTTCTTCTTAATCATTTCTCACAAGTTAAACTCTTGCTTCTGAAAAAAAAAAAGGCCTTAGCTTACAACTGGGGTCTCCACTGATACGAAAGCAGCAGAAAAGCTGGCTTTAAAAGGGTTTGAGATTATGATTATGAATAAATTGTCGGATATGATTCAAAGGATCATACTGGTTTGAGGGGATACAGATGACACCTATTCAGAAAAAGCAACTTTGTGATTTCCAGTCTGATACTGGGTTCAGAATTTTTACTCAGAAAGATTGTTTTGCTTTTGTTTTTATTTGTTTTTATTAAAAAATGACTTAAAGTTTAAACTAAAATATTCTGCAATCCTGAAATTCCCTGTGGACTTTTTCGGAAGCCGAAGGGTAGTGTCAGTTTGTTTGGGGGATGCATTCCCAGAAGATTTACTGCAGTACGATAGGTTAAATCTGCCTTTGGAATGGTCTTTCTCTCACCATTTTCACACCTTCTCCTCTGCAAAGAGCCTCATAGATTTCACGCTCTGGCAGGTAGTCCTGGGGCCTTTCATATATCCCACCGTGCGTTGTTGGCTCTATCGAATCTGAGGTCTCATTGATTGTCTTGGCTTCTTTTTCTTTCTCCAGCAGCCTCTCAAAGTACCGCATGTTGCTGCCTGCCCTCTCGTGACTGGGATCTTGGTTGGGAAAGAAAGGTGAGAGAGCGAGCGAGAGAGAGAGAGAGGAGACAGATAAAGTGATACTATCTGAGGAATCTGATCAAAGGGGGACTTCAAGCCTACAACATTACACCAATTATTTTGTGCAGTCAAGTGTACTCTCCCCTCCTCCCAACACTACTTGAAAAATAAAACCACGGAAAGCGAGCTCTCTGGAGTCAATTAAAGTTAAGATCTTGATTCTGGTTAAAAGTAAAAAAGCACACCAAGGAAAGAAGCAGTTCAACTGACTCTTTCAGTTTGATAAAGAATACTATTCCTGCTGTACCACATATGGCAGAGGGAGCAAACATGGTTCCTCTAGGTGTTATTGGACTCCATTATCCACCACCATTGGCCATGCTGGCTAGGGCTGATGGGACCTATAGTTCAATGCAACCTGGAAGACACAACATTATCTACCCCTGACATATAGCATCTCGTTGCCTTTAAAAGGAGCACAAGCTTTAGAATAAAGGAAGCATCTATTTTCATGATGATCTACCCAACAGAACATGCCAATCAAGTAATGGAATGAGAAATTCTTTGCACTGCCTCCAAAATGAGGTAAATCTCTCTTTCTAGTATGTGTATGGTGGAGAGCAATACAAAGATTGACTCTAAGGTTCAGGATATTTTAGAGATCACTTGCAGAAAAAACTTCAGAACAGACTAGGGCAGGGAGCTGAAATGACAAGAAGTCATTCATTCTCCCCGACTCAAAATCTGCTTTCTGGGTTTAGCTTTTTCTCTTGGAGAGGTTGCAATAGCTTTGTGGGATGGGAGAATCAGTGCTTAAAAATAAAAAGGCTGCCACAACAAAAACTATATTTTGCCACTCATGGATGGTTGGCTTAGCCATATCACTCGCTATTTGTTTTGCACCGTTAGCCAGAAAAAGAATCCTTGCTGTCATTTAAAACAAAATCAACCCCTCAATCCACACACATCTTCATCCCTTACAGATCAGAGATACAAAGCAAAGCATGCATGTACCATTCTTCACTGCAAGCACATGGGTTTGTAAGGGTGCCCGCACTGGAGGACATTGCAAATATCTTGCTTTAAATTTCCTGTGCATACAGAAGCAGCGAGAACATGGGTGTGAGCATTCCTTCTGTTGTTCAGTGATCTTTTCCAGTATTAGTTGCTGATGCCTAAGCAACCAGCCAAGGCAGCTAAGCTTTTGCCTTACTCAGAGTCTCTCCCCAAGCTGTTAGCCATGCCCCCAAACACTCTTTGTGAGCTGGATTAGAAACATAGGAGACTGCCATGAAATTGAAGCTAAATGATGTTACTGAAATTTCCATCTTGAACTGTTACACATTGCTTCTCACCAGCCCTACAACAGACTAGACGATTAAAAGGAATATGCCTAAATCAGCATTTCAACACTATCTCCCCTACTTCAATGCCAAATTTAACACCAGCATGTCAAATCAAATCAAATCAAATATCTTTAATACGGTCAATGACCAGGAAGCAATTTATAAAATATGACATTAAGAGTAGTATTGTGCTACAAGTAACAGTAAAAATATGGCCAATTCACAGAATTGGTGCTTATATTTATGACCAGGTTTCGAGCTTTAAGTTTTTAAAATTCAATTCAGGAGTCGCTACTGTTTATTATCATTCCTTCGATGTTTACAGTTTGAACTCCTTTGTAGACATCATTGCTCGTCTTATTCTTGTTGCAATGTAACAGTACTTTGCCACGGACCTGTTAATTTCGGGCTCTTTGTCAGCTAAGAGGTGTCTGATATAGGTGTCGAAACACCAGCATGTCATCATTCCTATAGGAATCACAAGTGAAGGCTGATCCATTATGTCAAATGAAGCACTGCCAGCCTCCACCTGCCTGCCTTCTTACAACCAGTCCAGGGGGTGACATAATCTGTCAGCCTCCTCCTCCTCTGCCTGTGTTGCCCTGTTAGAATTCAGCAGAGGAAAGGGTGGGTACAGAGTTAGTTGGATCTGCCTGTCATTGGCTCTGGCTCCCTCTACTGTTGGTCTCCCTGCTTTCCCACCTATCACTGCTCTCCCCCCGCCCTGCCCCGCAATGGCTATCAAAATTTTGCCTGCTAAAAAATAATAATCCAGAACAATATTCAAGTTTTCATTGTTGGCGTAAGTGGAGGAATACCTAATGTGGTTCCTCCAGAAGTTGCTGGACTCCAATTCCCATCAGCTCCCGCCAGTATGGCCAGTGGTCAGGTGTGGAGGGAGCTGTGGTCCAACAACATATTGAGGACGCCATGTTGGCTACCCCAGTTTAAGGGATTTCTGAGAGAAATAGAGTGGATTATTGTTCCAGGTTAGATAAACTGAACGTTAATCCAAGTGACTGACTGATGCCAGATGTCACAAGGCGAAGGAGTGACTCAGAAACCTTCTATGTCTGCTAGTTTGCCAACACCACCATATGTTTCTGAGAGGAATTTATCAAATCTGTCCAAATGTGTGGGGATGTTGATGAATTATGCTCTCTAGACAATTCAGAAATCCTGCTGCAGGCAATGGTATTGCTTTTCCATTTTATATTCAGTGTAAAACATTAACATTTGATACAACATGACACCTCGGAGGGCTTTTAAAACTTACAAGTAAGTCAAGGATCATTTAATCATACATTTAGAGTGAAGCTGTAACAGCCAGCAACTAGCAAACGGCATGCAAAATGCATGAAATACCAGGAAAGGGATGGGGTACAGAGCATATAGGAGAGGAAGCTTAAGGGAAAGGAGCCATTTCAGGTCCAGTAACTTAACTTTAAACGCCTGGCCTTGTGAAGCATAAGGAAATAGAAGCTGAACTATTGTGAGCTAAGTTGAATAGTTAGTCTAAGTGTTTATGTACCCGAGGAGACAGATTCTACTCTATGGGAACAAAAGACTTTTCACTTGGCAGAAAATACCCAAACAACTTGGGCAATCCTATAGTAAAGCATGCTAAATTCAACAGGACTTCATTCCAAGTACAGTGGTACCTCAGTTGTCAAATGTAATCCGTCCCGGAAGATCGTTCAGCAACTGAGGCGCAAAGGGCGGTTGGCAAAGTCAATGGAGAAAAGCACACAGCAGAAGCCATTCAACTTCCGAGGCGTGTTCGAAAACGGAAGCAATTACTTCTGGGTTTTCAGCGTTCAAAAACCAAAACGTTTGGCTTCTGAGATGCTCGAAAACTAAGGTACCACCGTCTAGGCATATAACAGGGATGAGAAACACCTGGCTTGCCAGATGTTCTTGAATTCCACCTCCCATCAGCCCCAGTCAGAATCACTATTGGTCAGGGATGATGGGAGCTGGTAGTCCAGTCACAGGTTCCCCCTTCCTGGCACACAGCAGTGAGGCATCAGGAAAGAAGTGAAAATCTTGGCAGGATTTCAACACAGAAAGCAGGATGACTCTATGCAATGAAGCAAGTTGGTTGGTTGTCTCCCACTCCCTCCCACTTAGGGAAACCTTTACCAGATTGAAGCTGGTTCCAGGCCCTCTCTGACTGCTTTTGTCTGTATAGAATGTGCCCTTCAAATGTGCTGTCTCCTGTGTACAGAAACCTCTGACTGTAGTGAGGCTGGAATGTAGCACTGCCCTGCCCACTTTCAATTTAGGCCACGCCCACCTCTGGCACATGATCCCTGGAAGGTTCTTCAGGAAGGAATGCAGTCCTTAGGCTGGAACACAGTTCCTCCGCCCTGGTCCTAAATGTTTACCATATCACAAAAAGCAGCGCTTTATCCTACTTTGGCTTCTCCACTTGAGGTGCAGGTAGCTTTCCAGCGTGCTAGAAGAATGCATGATGTGTCCTTCTTACCAAGAGACACCAACCGCCTCGTGAGCTCCATAGCCCTTTGTATGTCGCCAAGTTGGAAGACGCCATAGCTGAGATAATCCAGGATCTCCGCCTTTGTGATGGCTGCCTCTTCACCATCATCGTGCTTTTTCAACGCCTGCTGCATCCAGAGCACGGTGTGGTAATAATCCGCATCATTATACGCTGTTTTGCCCATGCTAAAGCAGTCGTCCACTGTCAGGACTGATCTGTACTTTGTTCCTGAATTTGAGAGACGCAAATGTTAAGTAAGACCTAGTGACTTCTACTCACATTTACAACTTTCCTGAATGTTAAAGCCATCTGGAATTATCCTGTTCCATTTATCACCCCCATGTTTTCAAATGGACACACTGAGCCGATGTCCCTGTTTCTCTGTCAGGTACAGGTCTTCAGCTCCAAAGGCTGCTCTTGCTGCTGAAGGCACCTAGAGACCATCCAGTTTTGAGTCCTGTAAAACCTGGCCTCAGCTTCTCTGGCTCATTTCCACCTGGCCTAGTCCAGACTAGCTTTGGGGTTGTAGCTGGGGGCAATGATCTTGCATTTGATATGTTGTACTGTTTTGCTGCTATTTGTAACACTGCGTTTGCAATTCCATGAGTGGATCTTTTAATCTTCCTATATATTTATTAACAGGAGGAGTTTGGCCTATAAACATTTGTGTTTCAATTTTATCATACTTATGTTCTTGAAATGTTGCTATATGTTATTATGCAAACACTCCCGACTTTGTTGTGAGCTGTTTTGAGCATGGTTGAGCACTACTGAAAAGCGGCACACTAATAAAATGATGACAATCCAAGAAAACAATGGATTTCTTAAATGACCTCACTTGCCTACCCACAACGCCTACAGAACCAACCAGAAACAATGTCTGTGCATGTTCACTGCTCTCATGCTGCACACTGCAGAATATTGAAAAAGCAAACCCAGAGAAAACTGACTTGGAAGTTGGACCACTCACTTGATTTCAGCCTCTCACTCACTTTCCTTCCAGCTGGGGCCTAAAGGGGGATGGCTGGAGCCAGGAGGACACATTCCATCCAGGACACAACCTCTGAGCTCAATCCCCCCCCCCCCATTTTTAGGATCCTTTAAGCTGCTAGACAGGCTACTTGCAGTTGAAAGGACTGGGGTGGGGGTGGTTAAAGAAACATATTTCCTTTTTTGCTGTGCAGCTGAAAGTGAGGAACCAAGCACTCCATTGAAGAGGACATCATTCTTTTCCTTTTTCTAACTCTTGGCTGACATACATTAAATAACTTGAAAATGAAAAGCAGTGGTGTGTTTTAATAATGCAGCGCTTGTTGCCACCAGTGGAGAAGAGGGAACATGAAGAACATTCAGAGCCCAAATTCCTCCTTCACAAAGGATCCTTTAAACTACAATGAAAGACCTTCTGCTTTTAAAAAAGATGCAGGATGAGCAGAAGAACGCAAAGAAGGAGTGTCCTGAAACATGCCTTCTCTGAGCCCAGCGTTTCCACCCACCCACCGGGTCCTTTTTAACTTCAATGGGAGGGCTGCCTTTTCGCAGCTCAGAGCCTAGGCATGGCATGTAATTTGTGGTTTGTTTCTCTCCAAACCAGGCTTCCTCAGACTCGGCCCTCCAGATATTTTTTGGCCTACAACTCCCATGATCCCTAGCTAGCAGGGCCAGTGGTCAGGGATGATGGGAATTGTAGTCTCAAAACATCTGGAGGGCCAACTTTGAGGAAGCCTGCTCCAAACCATGAGGGATAGCGAAGGCTTGTTCTTCACCACTCACGCTTTGTTTGTTTCCCTCAAACAAAGTAAACAAGTATGGATGTGCCCAAGTGGCTTGCCTGGCGAGGTGGAGCTGTAATGCTGGCTTTCCCAGCAGCAATGCCGCTGCTTCTAACCAGGGCGGAGATGGCACACTATGGAAGCCAGCCACTTCTGCGCACATGGATTTGGATGACACAACAAGTAAAGCTACCTGAGCAGTGTGCACAAGTACACTCCTCATTCAGACTTAAACAACAGTTAAACATTACTATGGCTTAATGTGATGTGCAAACACAGGCTGTATGTTCAAGTACTGAGTGCAAAGTATTATCCAAATAGCCTGGAGAACCTCACAGAACTGTTGTGAATCTAGAATTTGTCCACAAATGGAACAACATACCCCTGTTCTAAGCTTCAGTGCCCTGATTTGGAGAATTAACAGATTGTGGGCATAATTCTTTGATGGTGAAACTATATTTATATACATTTGCCTGCAGACATTCATAGTCACTACTTTCCAAATAAACTGATCCATGTGAGAAACCAGAATGAGTTAATGTGATTTAAAGCCAAACATGTTTATACTCAACATGAAGCCTGTGTGAGTTACTTTTCTTGCTTAAAAAATGTTCAAATGCATGAGAATCTCAATTATCACCAGAATTTTAATACAGTTTGCCAAGTTCTTGTTCTGCTTGAAAATCCTACGTGGTGACCTTAAAATGCCCTCTAGTCCAGAAATACTGAGCTAACATACCAGTCTTAAGGAGAATAGCTCTACTTAAGCAGTGCCTGCATTTGCAAAAATAATTCAACTAACAATTTAGATTCTGTATTCTTGTTGGAAACATAAGCAAATTGCAACAAACTATGACGAGAGTATTATAAATCTCCAGGCTTGTTTCTGTGGTTTCATGTTGATGCTCTAGATATGGCTTAGTAGGCTTTTCCAAAATCTGGTGAAGATTACAAGACTTTCATGGCTGACCACAGGTCTGGAAATGCAGAAAAACTGGCATGGTACCACTACCAGCGATTGCGTTTGAGAGGAAACTCACTGTAGAAGAAAACTTTGCTTCATCACTTACTCAACTGTTATTGAACATATATATTGAGAAACCAAAACACAAGAATCAGTGTGTTTAATAAAGTCAACAAGTAGCTTCTGACCATCACCTGGAAATGCTCCTTTTGATATTGTTTCCGGGTCAAGCTTGTAGGTATCCTGCAAACGCATTAATGCCTTGGCAGCTCCCGTCTCATCTTCTTCATTTGGGAAGAACTGACGATGAATTGTGAGATTTGCAATAAAACCTTTATTTGAACAAGACGGAAATGGTTAGCACTATGGGTCTCAGATGCATATAAGTGATACCAGATTGGTTGGCAATTGGAAACATTTATTCTATTTACAACAATCCCTTGTGGGATTCAAACAGATGAAATTTAAATATGAACTATCAATGTTCTCATCGGGCTCTGTAAAACTATAAATATGTATATATACCGTAGCTTTTGCTATTTGGCATGAAGATAAAAATTCATGAACTAAACACGCAAGAGATATTAAGGGGGGAAATCTGAATAAGCAAGCAATTAAAAGTGTGTTTAGGCAACAGGGAAGGAATGTTTGGAGCTTTCTAATGAAGTGTTCCACATTCAGCAGGAATTGAGAGCCTGCATCCATTCAGTTGTTCTTAAGACTCCAACTTCCATCTACTCCTGCCAACATGGTCAATGGTCATGAATGAGGGGAGCTGGAGTCTAACACCATCTGGAGTGATACAGGCTCATCCCATCCAGAGTAATGGGGTCCAATACATGATGTACTCAATGGCTATCATGCTTTCCCAGTACCCAGTGGTTCAGCTCGGATGTAGCAACAAAACCATGGATTGGCTACTGGAAATAAGCCTCAGATTTGCACATTTGATCCTCCTGCTTTTCCTCACATGTTCCAAATCCCAACCTCACCACCTTGTTTAGACAAACCATACCATGCTATAGTTTCCAATTCTGGTTTGAAGGCTAACTGTGATTTGCACAAACCGTTGTTTGACCAATCTGGATATACGCAATGAGAAATCATGGCTTGCCCAAATCAAGAAATGATGCAGAGAATGAAGAAAGAAGAAACAAAGTTGGGTAGAAGAGAACACATGAGCCCAAGGCTCAACTCTGATGGCCAGACTATGGTTTCATTTTTGCACCTGAAATGGAGCAGTGACTTGCTGAGAGCATGGTTGCCATCCATCACACATAGCTCCCATGATGCATCTCTGCCAAACCGATCCCACATGGAAGGAAAAATGCAGGTCATCTGAATCCATCTTAAATATGTATTCTAATTATATCTCCTGTTTACAGCTCTAATAACACCTCAAATAAAAACAAGTACAAAAGTTCAACATTCAGCTAAGGGCCACCAACCTAATGCAAGGGCAATGTATTCATTAGCATGGCTTTATACATACAGCACACCTTCTCTTATGGGACTATCAGAAGCGATGGTTCTCCAGAAGCTAGTAGACATCATTTCAAGAAAATTCCAGGAATGGAAACAGCTGATAAAAATTGTGACCCAAACAAAGAAACCAACAAGGTTTCCCAACAATGAGTGCTCCCCGAAAGGAATGGTTCCAGAGCAGCTTTTCTAGACATCACGGCCAATAGCCAAGAATGATGAGAGTTGTAGTTCACCAAAACATCTGGAGAGTACCAGGTTGCAGAAGTCTGCTGTAGACTAATTGAATTATGAGAAGATTTGACAACAAAAAGAGTTTGAGAGAAGATATAGTGGGGTAAGCTCAAACTGCACAGCCTTTTCAACGGCTCCGGTACCAGAAATAACAGGAGGAAAAGAAGCTGATGACTGGCTTTTTCCTTAGCTGTAAAAGACAGTTCCAACCCACCCACCCTGTTCCAATAGCTGTGATCCAGCAAACAATGTACAGAGCCAGATTTCACTGTCAGCTATAGAAGGCAAAGAGCTTCGAGCACAAGCCATTCTGCAGCAGGACGTGAGATAGGCCTGGCTGCACTCCCAGTACTCAGTCACATATGGCCAATGTCTTAGAAACAAAGGAAACACGAAGCACCAGCCGTGAAGAAACCATCATCCATTATCAGTTTTGCACAAATCCTTCATCAATAAAGATAGCCATCTTCTGACGCTCTCAGAAGGCTGCAGAAGTTGGATTTTATTTGGGAAACTGCTGCAACATGTGCTATACCTCCTGGCTGAAAAGAGCACGTTTCAAAGTCTTTCCCCTTTAGCCTGAGTGCACGCACGCACGCACGCACGCACGCACAAAACATATGTGGTTGATTTCTGAGAAATAGCATTTCCTCCTTTATAGTCAAGCGTTAGCAAAGTCTTTCTGGTCCCAAAAGCCGTCTTGCAAAATACCGTATTTTTCGCCCTATAGGACGCACTTTTTCCCCTCCAAAAATGAAGGGGAAATGTGTGCGCGTCCTATGGGGCGAATGCAGGCTTTCGCTGAAGCCTGGAGAGCGAGAGGGGTTGGTGCGCACCGACCCTCTCGCTCTCCAGGCTCGAGGACGTCTCCGCAAGCAGCGGGAGCGCTCCCACTGCTTGCGGAGAGTTGCCTGCAGGCTGAAGCCTGCGCGCACTGAGCTCAGCACGTCCAGGCTCGCGGACCTCTCCGCAAGCAGCGGGAGCGCTCCTGCTGCTTGCGGAGAGTTGCCTGCACGCTGAAGCCTGCCCGCGCTGAGCTCAGTGCGTCCAGGCTTCGCGGACCTCTCCGCAAGCAGTGGGAGCGCTCCCGCTGCTTGCGGAGAGTTGCCCGCACGCTGAAGCCTGCGCACACTGAGCTCAGCGCGTCCAGGCTTCGCGGACCTCTCCGCAAGCAGCGGGAGCCAGCGCTGGGCTCCCACGGCTTGCAGAGAGCTGCCTATTGGGGGCTGGGGTCGGGGGAAGCTCGGGCTTCCCCTGCCCCAGCCCTGCGCCTGGGGGGGGGAAATAATTTTTTTCCCTTTATTTCCCCCCCAAAAAACTAGGTGCGCCTTATAGGACGGTGCGTCCTATAGGGCGAAAAATACGGTAGGTAAGCTTTAGTATATGGGACAGTTCTAGAAGAACAATGAAATAGTATTACAGATAGCTTCCCTTAACACTGCGTTTTAGAAAACAGCTTCCACAAGCTTTTGGTTCGCAGCAAACTCAAGAACTTCTGCAATTCACAGCTGGAGAGGAGAATTTAATTGCCATGCGCCACTGCGACCCAACAAAGCCAGCGACTAAAAGCATCGAAGCCTGAATATGAAAGGAAAAGTGATCCATACAAGATTCAAGCATTACGTTCCAATGACAACGTATATTCTACAAGACCAGATTTGAAAGGGGATGGGGATGGGAAAACCTTCTCTTGGTTAAACCTGCTCTGGGTGAGTATCATAGCCATACTACCATACATACACACATGACCGAGAGGGTAGAAACATCAGTTGATTTAGTGGGAACAGGCCTTCTAGATTAGCATACAAACCCACTCACCTTGTGGATTGTGCCCTCCTCCCTCTAACTCTCTTGCTGAATTGTGCAGATCTTATTCCCTGAATGCTTCTGACATCGTTTACGTCATGTGCTTTTGAACCTTTTGAAGAATAAAGGCTTGGTGGGCACATGATTCCTATTTGTTATGGAACGCACTCACCAGTTGTGGGTGGTTTGCCAGGTGGCAAATAATGATTTTTAAGGACAGTTCAACACAGCTATCACTTGCTGGAGAGGCAGCAAAAGCAACATATTTTTGACCAAACATCTGATTAATGATACCCTGAGGGAAACATTTGGGACTTCTTTCCTGTAGAAACATCTGGAGTTGTTTCATTAGTTTTGAATAAAACATTGTTACTGTGGTGCCAAGTGCTTATTTCTAAAACCTTGCTTTTATTGATGTCTTCTACTGTGATTTGCTGCATTATTATTTTTGTTGTTTTAATGAATCTATTTGCAACTGTATGCATATGCATTTATAAGGAAGGGTGGTATACAAATATTTCAAATAAATGAATAAAAAGGAGAGAAAGATTTTGGGCCACTCAGCACCACTCCATCTTACTGAATATGGCAGAAGCAGTCAAGCTGGAATGGTGTGGCCTGTGAGCCATCTATTCCAATCCCTTTGGACGATGCACGATATCAAGAGTGAGAGCATCTCCAGCAGAAGGCTGTCCACCAGCTCTGCTTGAAGACCACGAGTGAGGAAGAGAGGGAGCCTACATACACATTAGTGAACACTCATGACTGTAGTTTAGGACCGACTGGGAAGAGTTTAATGGCGATTCCTGGTTAGTGAATATTTCTGTCGCTGAATGGAATTAAAAACAAACCCAATGTTCTTGTGAATGGGGCAAGGAACTGAACTCATTACACAAACATGGGTGCCCGTTGACACTTTTTTGAAAACAAACACAGATGAGGAGAGGAGGCTTCTTGAACAGACACTGTGGCATTAAAGAAGAAAAGGCATGTTGCTTTCCACACTGATTATTTCAAAAGCTTGGTTTCTTTGAGATCCTCACCTTTGGTTGCATCCTCAAGAACCAGATTCTCCAGCTGCAGCCATTCTGTGTTGAGACGCTTTACCAGTTTATATGCATTGACTGGGTGGGCAAGATAACCTTCTGGATCTGAAGTCGATTTAACAGTTAGGGATTCCATCTTCTCAGCCCAACTGGAAAACACGAGTATATGCCTCAAGTGCAGTTCTGATTTTATTTTTAGCCCAGGCATATGATATGCTCTGGGAGGGTTGTGATAGAGATACAAAAGCCCCAATTGCCTTCCTCTGTCCCTGTATCCTTTTTCTTTCTTGAGCTGTGTGAATTGCTTAGCTATCGTCGTGCCTCTTGCACTTTGCTAGTTAAACAATCAAATTGCAAAGTGAATCGCCACAGGGAAATTTATTTTAAAACACTTTTGTCATTGCTTTCTTACAGCCTGGTTTTTAAGCCTTTGCACTGACACAGCATCTGATAAGGTGGAGTGCCAGAGCCAGTGTTTCTCAAACCTTGAGCCACTTTCACCTGAGCCTCAGTGCTGCAACCTCCTCTGTGCTTCCTCACTTACTCTTCTGGCTCAGATCCCAAAGACAAACATAGGGGCAACAATCTCCAGTGACAAGGAAGAGCAGAGGTGCTATGTTAAAATGGCAAAGTATCACTTTGTCTAATCTCACTTTACCTCTTGATTTTAGCAAGCTTAGATTCTTCTTCTTGAATATATGCCTTTAATGACTGAACCAGATCTTTTTCTGCATAAATGAGGTCTGTCATCTGGCCTTAAATGAAAAAAAGGAAAGAAAAGTATTATTAGAAACCCAAGAAGCCATCTGTATCCAGAAAGATAGGTTGAGAGCAAATAAACACTGCAGATCAAGGAAAAGACACAGGGAGACTATCACAGCAGGCTGGAATTTATAACGTCACTAAAGCATTTGTTCTAGTTCAGAACATGTATTCTGCCAATGTTACTGCAGCTCCATTTCTAACAATCTAAGGGTGGAATTCAACATCACATTCAGGCAATTATTCTACCAGCGCAAACGCTTCTGCTTGCCATATGGAATGATGCCTCCTTCTCCTCTCCCATGGGCAGTTCTAGGGGTTCTCCTGACCCACCTGAGCAGATCTGTGGAGGGTGAGGAGGGAGGAGAGGGGAGAAGTCCCATTGCACCAGCTTCTACTAGCGCAACAACTAAGCTGAATCTGGCCTTCAGAATCTAGGGAAGGGAGTTTTTGTTGCATTCCTTTTGCCATAGTTATTTTATTTCACAACAGCTTTACAAGTATATATGTACAGTGGTGCCCCGCAAGACGAATGCCTCGCAAGACGAAAAACTCGCTAGACGAAAGAGTTTTCCGTTTTTTGAGTTGTTCCGTAAGACGAATTTCCCTATGGGCTTGCTTCGCAAGACGAAACGTCTTGCGAGTTCTTGCGAGTTTGTTTCCTTTTTCTTAAAGCCGCTAAGCCGTTAATAGCCGCTAAGCCGTTAATAGCCGCTAAGCCGCTAATAGCCGTGCTTCGCAAGACAAAAAAAACGCAAGACGAAGAGACTCGCGGAACGGATTAATTTCGTCTTGCGAGGCACCACTGTATATATATTTCATATATTTCATAGAGAGGAAAACGAAATTACTTCATGCATGAGGAATGGGAAACAGAAAACTATTTGGCCAAGGCATAGAACATCCATTGTAATCATTCACAGAACCATGCATATTAGCTTTCTCGATAGTCGAGGGTATGCTGTTTTATCAGCAGCACTTATCCATTCTACCTGAAGAAAAGGAACATGCAAGAGTAAGTTGGCCTTTTAAACTTGATATGGTGACACAGAGTCACAGAGCTTCAGGCTAACTGTATTGAGTTACAAGCTTAATACTAGCTCAAGAGCAAGACATGCCAATTAATCTAGCAATCAGTCCTCAGCATGGCCTATTACGTTTAACGTGATGTTTTTGTTTACAACAGCAATTTGATCCTTCATAGCCTTTATAAAGCTGCCACAGTTCATGCAAAATCTGCAAAATTATCTTTTAATCTGAAGTCACGCTGTATTTTATTTTATTGCAAAATGCAGTAATAAAATCTGAAAATGCCAAAGGCGTAACAGGTGCAAAGCTCCAGAAAGGTTTTAAGCAGTGGTTGTCTCCCTCCCTCCTCCTCTCAAAGGTGAGTTTCTAAAATTATTATGCTTACAACAGCTAATTAGCTGATGAAAATGAACTGATGCACATACCTCACATCAGTTATTTGGAATGGCATAACATCGTCAGCATATTTCCACAGATATTCTAACACAATTAGAGCCCAACTCTCTTGAGACATTGTAAAAAAAAATGGAGCAGTTAAAAACAGAAATTCTGGGACATTCTCAAAATTGCCAGGGGAGCATTCATAAGCACCCCCCACAACTGCAGCAATTTGTTCAGCATGGGATAAACGAGATGATTTTACAAGTCTCCCAAGGAGGAAAGTAGAGTGGCAATTCTAATCTGCAGTGGTGATTTACAATAATGCGATGTGTTTTTAAAGACAATGTCACATGTTTTTTCAAGTTAGCCCATAGCAATGGGCCAGAATACATCTAAGCCCCATGCACCCACTAATACCTAGCAATGGCCAGAATACATCTAAGCCCCATGCACCCACATGCAGCCCCATCATGTAAGCGGTAAAACAAACCAGAAAGCCACATAGAGTTTCCTGTTGTGTGCCAACTGCAAAAGATGGTTAATGGGTTCCAAAGAATCCAGGATGAGAAAACCACCTTTAAACCATTCTAAAGAGAGGAGTGGCAATTCTCATGTTGGAAAAGGAAAGAGTAAAACACAACCAAAGAGTGGAGTCTATTCCAGATGATTGCATTAATAATATTGATTATGATCACACATTAATTGATGTAAACTATGTTTCACCATTTTCCTACTTTGCCTGAGCTTTTTCATACCTATAGAAGTGAAAAATTCAGCTCTTGTCAGGCTGGTGCAAATAATGCAGGTTAGCAGTAATGGTATCATCCACAGCGTCATTCTGAATCAATGAAATGTCTGCAAGATATTTAAAAATAAATAAATTCATGACAACTGAAGAAAAAAGGAAAATACAAGCCCCAAATTCCACAATCTGTAGTAAAAAATCAGCCACACTTTTCAACTTTGTACACGGCAATTCAGGCGCATTTGTCCAATTTGGCCTAAAATGGGGAGGCTGCCATTCACAGCAAATCTCATTCAAACCGAATGCCCCTATTTAGTGTGCAGGAATTTGACACAATGAAAACATTGTGTCAAGAAGTTAACCATTTCCAAAGATGAATCAGTAGAAAGTGATGAGCGGAATTCAACATCATGCTGTCACGATCGTTCAATCCGTGCAAATATTTTGTGCTTTCTAGATAGAATGATTCCCCCCTCTTCCATCCCTGTGTTCTAGGAAATCTCCCAATGCTCCAGAGCAGATTTGGAGTCAGGAGACAGAGGAAAGCCCTGTTGAACTAACAGAAGTCCTTGCACTGGCATCCAGGTTAGTTGAATCCAGCCCTTTGTTAGTCAACTAACTTTTGCTCAGAGTAGATTCCATGAACGACTTCTTTCCCCTACTAAAGGAAACTTACTCAGATGTACCTGGTTTGGGAGTGGGATGGCAATGGTCCTGTGAAATGCACAGGAATACATACTTCCCCACCCCCTTGTACCCATCACCACCAGGATTCCAGCAGCTGTTGGGCAAGCAAAGAGTGCTGTCAGTCCCAGTTCTTGAACCAAGAGAAATATCCCCAGCTACGCTCTGTCTCTTAAGCTATGCTGGCACTTGTTTGCTGATCCACAGGCCTTTCCCTACAGCCTCCTCCTGCCCATTATAATCATGGACTCTTTGCTAGTCCATAAAACGCTAAATGATGTCACACTGAAATATCTGCCCAGTGCCACTTAACAAGAGCTCCCTTAGGAGAGAGAGAAAAGAAAGAAGTTTCAGCTCCTAAACCAATTCACAGGTAATCTGAGACTTTTGTAAAGCTGAGTGACAAGTACCATGAAGGGGTCTGCCAAGAGCAATAACACAATAAGCGATATAACAGAATAGGGGAGCCAGCCAAAAGAATTCCGGAGGCACATATATTTGGATATATTATGCCATGGCAGCCCATCTGAAGTGCTTGTTCTTGTTTCCTGGAGACATTACACACATCTTGGCTAAGTGACACTGAAGGAATTTTCCAGCTAAAACGAGCAAACGCCGCTCTCATTCCCCTCCCCACCTCCTGCCTCACATGCTTCGGAGTTCAGGATACCTGCCAAGTCCAAGAACATTATTTACTTCATCCAGTGGTCTGAATCTTTTGCAGCTTTGCCATGGTACACAAGAGTTATGAGCGTCAATATGCGGAAAGTAAACACAAAAGATGGATTTCGCTGGGAAGAAGGAAGACACCTGGCAATGGACTTTTATATTCTTTCCATATTGTGCAGCTGTTTAACTTCAAACAAAAGCAAACAACTCTTTATCATCCCAGCATGGCTATAGCTTGGTGAAGAAGAGCAAAAGCACACATGTGCAGAGAGCCTGTACAACTCCTGCTTATGTGTCCCCACATCTTCCTAGAGTCCAAAGTGGAAGGGAAGATTATGAAGGATTTTATAAGTATGTGAATGATAAAAACACACACACAACTTGTTCAGTCAGGCAGAGAAATAAATGTTTTGGATTAGCAGATGGAGGTGGGGGAGGAGAATATTAAAAGTCACTATTTTGCCTTTGTATGATACGTTTCGCTTGTGTTGGCCAGAAGACAGAAAGGAAAATGCCATGTTCTGACAGGTTGATTTAGAAGATCATTTTACATGCTGAAAAATTCCAAGTGCTTCATTATAATTTGGAAAGCATGGGGACCCCTGGCTGGCTGAGACAGCAAAAAGAATTTGCTTCCTCAAACATGCAAGGGAGTCTTACTTCAGGAGGAATGTATGGGCGTTCTTCAGGGCTCCTGGCAGCACAAAAGAAAAGGTATCCAGCTTAATACCGGAGAAACAGTCCAAGATATCAAAAGAGGATAGGTATTCTCTCCAGCCCACCTGCAGTATCATTATTTTTCCAGCTGCTAAAATGCCTGTCTGCTGCATTAGTGACTCACTTGGGTGTCTAAGCATGTTACGGTTTTGCAAACCTCTATATTCTTATTCACAAAATGTATCACCACCCTGCTCATTCAGACTGTGCTTTGTTAAGAAATTAGCCTTTCATACAGCATTGCACACAAACCTAACAAAAACTCTGGCCTTTTTTTATTTCTTCACATTCCAGAAAGCACTGATGATCTGGCACAGGAACACCAAGACACGCACAACGACTTGACTTTGAGATACATGTGTCCCAAAATGGCAACTGCCTTAAATTACAATGGATTTAGGGTTGCCTTGTATTTTTATATTTTTCCAAGCCATAAATTAACCACTGTGCAAGAAAAAAATATTTCTTAATAATATTTGAAGAGTGGTAGAAAATCAGCCCATATTCCCATCAAATGATCTGAAATCCACTCAGACTATAGGTAAAAGGTAAGGGACCCCTGGAAGGTTAAGTCCAGTCAAAGGTGACTATGGGGTTGTGGCGCTCATGTCACTTCAGGCCGAGGGAGTTGGTGTTTGTCCACAGACAGCTTTCTGGGGCATGTGGCCAGCATGACTAAACTGCTTCTGGCGCAATGGAACACTGTGACGGAAACCAGAGCGCATGGAAATGTTGTTTACCTTCCCACCACAGCAGTACCTATTTATCTACTTGCACTGGCATGCTTTCGAACTGTTTTGGGACAGAGAACGGGAGCTCACTCCATCGCGGTGAGGGACACAGGTGGCGCTGTGGTCTAAACCACTGGGCCTCTTGGGCTTGCCACTCGTACTACCCACCATGTAGCCATGATTCTTACTCAGAGTGCCAACATTTCTTCCTGCACAGGGATAGCCTAATCTTTGTTGCCTTTAGGTTAGATTACTGCAAGATGGTTCAGAAAATGCAGCTGGTGCAGAATTCAGCAGCCAGGTTGTTCACTGGGTCAAGACAGTCTGAGCACATAACACAAATCCTAACCCAATTACATTGGCTACCCATTAGTTTCTGGGATCAATTCAAAGCACTGGTTTTTGACCTATAAAACCTTATACTCCAATACCACATGGACTTACCTGGATCCTGCAATTGTCACCTGAGGCCCTTCTTCATGTGCCCTCTCCACAAGAGGTCTGAAGGTTTGAAACACGAGAAGAGGCCTTTTTCAGTGGAGCCTCTCTGATTGTGAAACGCTCTCCTCAGGGAGGCTCCCCTGGCGCCATCATTACGTATGTTTAGGCACCCAGGCTAAAGTGTTTATTTTTCATCAGGCTTTCCGCTTTTACTCCTCTGAGGCCTCCTTGAGTGGGTGAGCTGGTTTAAATCCTGCCTTTTAAAAACAGGTTTGTATTTTAGTTTTTTCCTGTTTGTTTTATGATTGTTTTAATGTATGTATGTATTATGTTTGTTTACAGTAAGCTGCTTTGTGTTACTTTTGTAAAAAGTGACTAACAATTTTAATAAATAATAATAATAATGAAGGTAAGGAGAAATTAAGGGCTGTGGAAAAGGGAGTAGCTGATGTGGTTTACTGATCCACCAGCAAAATAAATACTGCTACATTGCATCTGCTGCTCCAGGTGTCTGGGTTTGTAACCACTTAATGGGATTACTCCCAGACTGGGGAAATCCACATCTGGAAGGAGAAACGAGTGAGATTGCATTGGCTACTCTGGGCATAAACTTTCATGGATCAGAGTCCACATTGTTATATGACATTCTATTTAAAATACGTTTAGTCTTGTTATGTTAACAGCAGCATTTAATTTAGTTGTTACATTCAATTATTCCTAATATGCCACATGTCCTCCCTGTGGCCACAATTCTAATGCATGCAAAAGTGGATAATAATCACAACATTTTCCAGTTAATCTTGTGGGTTAATCCATCAAGTCCCTTTGTGTCATCTTGCTCTTTACAGCAGCACATACAGTATTAGTTTAAGCCAGCATTTCGGAAACTGTGTTCCATAAAGCAGTCTAAGGGGTTCCGTGATTTCCACTGAGCTGCAGCTATCAGGAATAAATGCACTGCTCAAGCAATTTCCCTGGAAACCCCTTCCCCTCCTTTCCTTCTCCCACTGTTAATTCAGGTAAGCAACACTGCCCAGCCCATACTGCCCTGCTATACTTGGGTGAAAAGTGCTGTTCAAGCTCTTGTCATGTGACTCCCTCATTCCCCCTCTTAGCCTCTTCTATTGAGCTGCAGCCTAGAGGCAAGGGTAACGCTGCAGTGAGATTAGCAGGCTTCCTCAAACTCAGCCCTCCAGATGTTTTTGGCCTACAACTCCCATGATCCCTAGCTAGCAGGAACAGTGGTCAGGGATGATGGGAATTGTAGTCTCAAAACATCTGGAGGGCCGAGTTTGAGGAAGCCTGGATTAGAGCCACAGCCCAACCAGTCAGTGCATCTGGCTGTAAACCAGAAGGTTGGTGGTTTGAGCCCACCCAGGCAAAGGGGGTTGTACAAGATGACCCTTAGGATCCCTTCCAACTCTACAATTCTATGATTCGATGAATGTATGAAAAGCTTCTCCCATCAGAGGAGATCGGGAGGTCCACAGCAACCTTTTTCAAGGACTCAGTTGTTGTTTTTAAAAGCTCAAGCTGTTTGGTGTTGCCTTGCTTCCTGTCCAAATAATCAACCCCTCTCTCCGCCCCCTTTAAAAAATCATTTGAAAAGATTTTACTGCAAGGGTTCCGCAAACATTTGAGAACCATAAAAGTCAACAAGTCCAAACTGTTGCAAATATATTTCCTCTTTCTCAAGCTAGTTGTATTAAGTTGCTTAGCTTAAAAAAACAAAGAGGCTGATAAATTACATTTCTAAATAAAACTCAAGCTGGCCTAAAGCAACAGTCAAAATCACAACCGTCTTTCTTCCTGCCGCAGGAAAAGAAGTGGTCTCTTACATTTTTGCACTCTCTCTCTAAGTATATATTGCCCAGAACTTACGTGTCACACATGATTAGCTGGAAAATATACCAGTACAGATGACACGTTTCAGAAATGCAGGATTTTAAGGAAGCTGAACAGTTCCGCATATCACAGCTGTGGAAACAGATGAACACCATGAAGAGTCTTATGCATTCCATATGGCTGTTCTGAATTTATTTCTTCAATGTCACCTGTTGCTCTAGAGCTCTTAGTATCTCCAAAACTCATTAGTGGATTAGCAGTGCAATCTTATGCATTTATACACTGAAGTTAAGTCCCACTGAGTTAAGAGTTTATTCCCAAGTAAGTGTGCAAAAGACTACAGCCTACAACCATGATCTAGTCTATGGTAGCAACACCTTATTAAACAAGAGAAGTCAAGCCAAATCTGAAGCAACAACTGGACCTAACTTTGTATTTTCTCCCCAAACTAACCACCCCCTGCTGACTTAAGCAAAATTCAGTATATCAATATCCAGCTCAGAATAAAAGTTTGACTTTTTTAAAAAAAGTCTATAAATTGTTCTGGACACAAAATATTGGTTGTGTTTGCATGCCACAGTAGGCCATTAACTATGGCTTGCCGTGAACCAGCAGTGTACTAAGCAATGCTGCCCAATCACTCCTGCTTTGCTCCTCCCGTAAGCAGAACAATCCACAAACCATGGTTCATTGTGTCATCAAACTGTGGTTATCCCTAAACAAACCACATCAGCAAGCCAAGAACAGACTTGCTCATTCACGAGAAGCCTATCATAGCTTATGTCCCACTGTGACTTATAAACATGGCCACTCTCTGGGAGGTTTTTTATACATGTTACATTTAATCTGATTTGTACTTTGTCTGCTTCAAGAGAGGCTACAGGTGAGAGAGCAGGCTGGGACCTTAATACAATCCACTGCAGACTGTGAAGATCAACAGGTTTTGGGTGAGGAAAGGACTAATAAAGGACCATGTTTGGGGCTTGTGTTTCAAGGAGATGGGAGAAGACATCACTTGGTGTATGAAATGCTGGGGGTGTGAAATAGGAGGGGTTTTTGACAGCAGCATGGGATGGCAGTTGAGGGAGGATGGGAATTCTGTCAGTTGAGGGAGGGCTTACTACAAATCTGTTTTTCCAATGTTCCTCAAATAAACACTCTATTTTTAACTTGGATTGTGAAACCCATGTCCAAAAGGTTTGAACATCTACCCCAATATCTACATAGTGCTGTTAGTGACTGTGACATCGTTACTATACACCATAAGGTATACCTCCCTGATGCTGCTGTGGTCAGTCACTTTCTTTAGCTATTGTTGCTGAAATGCACCTGTAGCTGCAAAACCAAGACGCCTTCATCTGCCCCAGCTGCATGTCTCTCCCACATCAGTCTGTAAGACCACAGCAAGCGCTGCAACCTTCCTAAAGCTTGACCTCACCCCCCCCAAGGCGCACCTCTTTGTTGTCTCCCGAGATAGATGGATGCCAACATAAGCCTGCAAAATCTGACCCTTAGTTAGGTGAATCATCCATTTTCACCTTCTGTCCCATGTCTACGTGAACAACCTTGTGGTTAAGAATCCCTACGTATCTGAGCTTGTTTGGAGGTTCTAGCAGGGGAGGGCAGCTATCGTATACCCTTAACCGAAGAACGGTACACTCCTTCTATCTGGGACGGTCGTCGTCTTCCACCGAGCGTGCAGCTTCAGGAGGGATGCACATGGAGCAGTGAGGGAGGGAGGGGACACCCGCCCAGCCAGCCAGATCAACCAAATCAACCCTGGCGATCAATGGGGTGACAGATGTCGCAGCCAGATTGCCCTCACATCCAAGGGAATCTGCCCCCTTAGCTACTTCATTTCAGAAATCTAGAGAGGGACATAAATGGGTAAAAATTTGGGGGTGGGACAAAGTGGATTTTTTAAAGGGCTTCACATCTTTCCCTCCATAATTTGAGCCCTTGAGGTTCACTTTCTTCTGTTTTAGAGAATCAAGCACTTGCAGGTGAGAATGATCCTCTGCTTTAATAAAGCTGATAGTTATTCTGGGAAGCAGGGGATCTATATACAGCATTGCTTCTCAGTGTATCTAAATTTGAGCTGTACGACACAGTTTAACCAATCTTAATTTAGATGAGGGCTTGTCCTAGATGACACTTAGTATATGCTTCAGGGGTGTGACCCTGTGCTGAATCCATGAAGACATGTCTCTTACATAAACAACAATTTGAGGTTAGATTCAGGACAGGCCTTCCTCTGGGCCTGTTTGATTTCATGTATGGAAGCAGTGAGGAGAAACCCACAGCACTCTTCATTAAATTGTTGGTGGGGGGAGGGATAAACAAAGGGGTTTTGCTTTTTTTAACAAGCCAAAGCCAATTAAATGCCAAACATGTGCCTCCTTTCTGTTAAGACAGCGTGGCTACAGTTCAGTGTCTTGGCGCCTGAGCCTATGTATGCTTACACGGAAGTAAGTCCCACTGTGTTCAATTCGACTTACATGTAAGTGTGCACAGGACTGAAAACAAAAAATATTGAAGCAAAGAGGCCAAGGGAACAACATTTAAATGCCAAACCCATCACAAATTGTGAGGGTGTGACATTGGACAAAATGATCATTGCGTGAGAATATTATATTCTGTAAGCTGAAGGGGGGAAAAAGCTAAATAAAAACAACAACTCTTGTCTATATAAGCCAGAATCTAAAGAACTGTGAAATTAGTTCCATAAGCCTGAATAACTTGCTGCTTTTTTTTTGTTTAAATCACAGGCCCTTTCTTACTGGTGTAACATACAGCAGGCAGCAGCATGTCTCCTGCTCAGAGAAGAGTTAACTTTGCCCATTAATACTGAGGCTCGACATCTCTAATTGTGATGCAGTTCCAAGGCACTTTCAGTGGAAATAGACGAGAAACTGTTTTGTTATTCCTTTTACATTGTGGTATCTGCCCTGGAAAGTATCCATCAGTACTTCACCCTGTAATTACTGTCTCCAGAACGTACTTCTAAATGTTTAAAATCGTATTTCTCATTTGCAGCCTTCCAATGCACAGAAATCACAAGACAGAGCTTCCAGAATCTGGAGTCATTCCCAATCCGCTCCGTGTCTTCAGAACAATCTAGATTTGTCTGAGTGTCCAGCAATATGAAACCCAGGGGTCAGTATTATTCTTAGCCTTTTCTGGTCCAACATAGTGCTTTGATTAAAAACCCTTAAGGAGCGCACTAGCATTTCTAGAGGACTGCGCTCACCCATCAAATACAAGAGCCCCCATTCTAAGCCCCCCCAGTTTTCCTGAAAGATATCTGCCTTCCAGCTGGCTCCTTGCTTTGGAGTTCAGCATTATTACACCCCTCAAAGCTTTGCATGCATCCACTCCACATGCCTGCATCACCACCTCCCTTGCCAAGTGCCTAATGTGCATCTGCAAATTATTAAAGCATCTAAATGCTAAACAGTAATCAAATCCTTGGGGTGTGGCTTTCCTCCTTCTCCCTAACAGCATATGAAGACGTGGTGCTTCAAATGCTGTTTCTTAGTACAGAAATCAGTAGGATCCTTATTCCAATAATGTTAGTAACCTTGTGATTTGTGTTATGTGAGCTTAAGAAATACCCAGAATCTGGATTAGCTCCTAAAGTCTCCTTCATGCTTCACTGCATTTCACAGCTAAAGCATTTTTTAAATTTTTTTATTTTGGCAAAGCCCACAGTACTCTGGCACTTTTAAATTCCACTGTTTGAACCTTCTCTTACCCTGTATATAGATGTAAATAATCACTTAAATCCAGTGCAAAGTACAGCGATGGATCTACGCTTTCTGAATTGTCTGCTTTATCTTCCCAGTCTGGAGCTAGCCAAGACTTATAGAGTACCAGACATAAAACTGCCTTTTGGTGCTGAAAGCCCAGAATGTTAGTAAGTAACATCCTGACAGATAAATCTAAAAACAGTCTTGGAATATATATATATCATGAAGACCAAATTGAAAATCATTCCAAAATCCCAGTTCCAAAATGCTTGGAAGCAAATCCCAATGGAATTAGGTGTGTTGTAGACCATAGCTCAAGTAATCAGAAACATTTAACTTAACGACTATATTTAATTATGAAATGTTTCCTCTCCCCTACGGTCAAGGTGGGGAGCTCTTTTCAGTCCATGGGCAACATTCCTTTGTATATATCCTTCCATATATATCATTCTTTTTCAGTACGAGTAAACATTATAAGCATTATCCATAGACCTCGTTTTTATAAACATCAAATGAGGAGATTTAATCTGTTTCTTGATTGTACAAATTCAAAATGAACATGGAGATTTTAAAAAAGAACGCTTTCCTGCACACAGAAAACTAAATGAGGGACAGCTTTGTAGCTGTGCTTCTCTGTGGAAAGCAACTTTCTCTACGTCGGGAGAAGAATCCAGTAACAGGATCCTGACTTGTAGCCTGACATGGTACAATCTAGAAGCAAGCTTATTTCCTTGTTTGATGCTGTGAGACCTAGAAATAGCTGTCAACTTTTCCCCTTTTTTAAGGGAAACTCCATTATTCTGAATAGGATTCCTCACAAGAAAAGGGAAACGTTGACAGCTATGAAAGTAGGCCTTCATAATCACATTTGGCAAAGTAGAAGCAAGCAGCAGTCTGTAATAAGCACATGCCACATTAAAGAGTGCTACACCAATGTCTTAAACCAAGGTCTCTGGCAGCAGGAGGTTCAGACATCTTACTCACTACAGTACTGCAGCAACTTGCTAGAGGTAGGAATTGCTATGCAAGTCTGTTATCTGCTGCGCTGCAGTAACTGCACCGCTGCAGATGGCAAGAATATTCTCTGCAACTGCCAATCAGGACAGAAAAAGGACTAATGGGATTCTATCTAGTCTTACAAAGTTGGTTGGCTCCTACGTCTTATGTTGTTCTGTTGCTTGATTTCCTGCCAGTCCTGAGTGAGACAGCATTGTTTGAACATTGTAGTTCTGTGCTTTTTGGTTATACATGCTCAAGTTAGACTAGATTCCTAGACATATGTGGCTCTGTGCCACTGCAAAGGGACAACTGCATCGAACCTAAAATGAGTCTATGGTCCAATTACTAGAACTTAAGGTGATGGGAATCTGCTTGATGAAGGGAGTTTAAGGTCCACAAAACCAGGCAGTTTTCAGTGGTTAGAAAGCAGGTCTGCTTCCACAGAAACAACTGCTCTATCCCGGCCCTATAATGGCTCATATATTTATGTCTATGTGCCTCTATATAGGGACAGATAGGTAGGAGGAGTGCCAGCGAGAGTGTCAGGCTCCAGGACCTGGGAGAGCTGGGTTCAAATCCCCACTCTGCCACTAAGATCACTGGGTGACCTTGGTCCTATCACTGTTTCTCAGCCTAACCTACCTCACAGGGTTGTTGTGAGGATAACATGGAGATGAAGAGAACCCTGGATGACACCTTGAGCTCCTTGGAGGAAATGTAGGATATAAAAATAATAAATTAGATGTTAACACATATATAAAATTATATCCCTCTGATTATCACTCTAGTCCTTGCAAGAGAATGTAAACTCTGCCAATGCCCAGATTTTTGTTAAAGTCTCAACCTACTGACACTGGCAAGAGTTTACATTTTCTAGCAGAGACAAGAGTGATCAGATTTTCTTCATATTCTTTTTAAATATTATAAAACCTGCAGGGGTTAGTCATTAATCCTTGGTGATGATTTCTAGCTATGGCTCTGAAATGCATAACTCTACATTCTGTGGCTACAAATTAATGATTTTTAAGCATATGGAAAACCTCAAAAGAGTAATATATGAAATGTCCTTTAAGCATGACTCATGTTGATTACGTTCAGTCATTGAACTGGCACTACTTCCAAGCAGCAGGAAAGCAATAGACTCGATTGAATCATTAAGCTTAAATGGATGTATAAAACTGTACCCATTTACGCAAACACTCCTCCCACTGCACAAATCAGAGAGATTGAACAGGTAAATAAACAAATATCATGAAGCTCCATAAACTGCCCTTAAGCGTTTACCCATTACAGAGACAGCTAGAGCAGTACTGTGTGGTTAGGATTATGTGCTGGCCATTTCTGATTCAGAGCTCTGCTTAGCTATGAACTCAGGGGTGGTCTGAGACAGGCCACTATCTTGTACCTTCAATTTACCATCTACGTATATTATGGCTATACTGCAGCAGTACTGGCCTATTTTACAAATGAACACACATAGGACCAGACTGCAATGTAGCGTGTAAAACACCCAAGGGGGAAAACACTATAGGCACACTGCGCATTAGTATCATTTTTGTCAACTTAAGATATGGCTCCCTGCTGGTCAAATAACCGCTGTGGTTACCTATAATTCGTTTAGCAGAATCTGCTTGAAGAATTACCTCCTGAAAATTATTGGCAATTCTTCCACACAACCAACTCGTCTCTTCCTAATGTAGCTGCAAAACAGACGAGAGAGTCCACTGATGTAAGAGACCACTATATGTCAATGACTTGGATGGGATTTCTGTTTTCTTCCAAATCAGTAAAAGGGGGAAGAGGAGATGGTAGAAGTTCCCACTGCCACCCAAACAGTGAAAAAGTGCTACTCGTTTTCATTCTGTTAAGCAGAATGCATGCCCCTTCGCTGTACGTGGAGCTGTTAGAAGATAGAAATGTGGGGTGTGTGCATGTTTTCTATCCCAGAAACTCCATACTAAACATGGTGCACTAGGGCACTCATGCAAATTTAATGCATCTGGCGCAAGCAGCAGCCAGGTCATCTGTACTGTGCCAAGGAAGTTATATGTAATTTTGATGGATGAGGCAACTGCATATAAAGCCAGCTCTGTGCTCTAAGAATTCCACATCATTTCTACATAATTGCAGGCTGACTATTGCAGGGACCCAGGGATCCTCTTTCACGAACTGTCTAATATTAAGCAGTGGTAGGGCACAAAGCAATGCTCTTAGCTAGCCCTGTTCTGTGTCCCTAAAATCGAAAGGAACATGGAAAAATATATGTCTTACACTACCAAATGGAATAAGGTAGGAAAGATATCCACTGGGTTTTTTTGTGTGTGTGTGTGCTTTAGATATCAAATGGACAAAGACAAAGAGAGGTGATGAGGAATCAGGATTTAAAAGAGGAAGAAATGTAGGGGGAGAGTGGAAAAATAATGAGGAAGAAGTATTCATTGAATCTGAATATTTGTTTACTAGTCAAAAACAAGTTCACTTTCATATTTGGTTAAAGCAGAACTTCAACTTTATAATTTGAAACTATAAATAACCCAATGCCATGAAGTAGTTATATTAGCACAAATGATTTCAGTTTGTACAATGGAACTTCTCTTCTCTCTTCTTTCTATGTCTCCCTGGTGCCCTCCCTGAATCTGCTCCAGGGGATTGGGGGGGGGGCGCTATCCGGAACAGGTCCAGTGGGCATTTGGGAGACTCACAGGGAGCTATGCAGGAGCGATTCCGTTGTGCAGCCAGAAGTCTTTGTGCTAATGGAACTTGTATGAAAGCCAGTGTGGGATAATGAGAAAGACTGTTGGACTAGGACCTGGAAGACCAGGCTTCAAATCCCCATTTGACCACAAAGCTCACTGGGATGACCTTGGGCCAGGCACTGCCTCTGTCTGGAGTGAAGAATTAACTCCTTATTGTCAAAAGCACACTTACAAGTTAGCTGAAGGCTAACTCAGTCCTACATATTGCAGCTACTCCTAGGTGTACACCCAATGGAGCAGATGCTGTAACAGAGAGGACCTATCCCCGACCTCAGCTAATGTATCTCCCAACAGCAAACAACTTTGTTGAATACCACCAGAGTATACAAATATGAACTACCAAAGAAAGAAAAATGACATTATGGTAGGTGTGGTAAAAGAAACCCATTACCTTGAATTTCAGGACATCGTCCCACCAGTGGAAGGAGGCTATAAAGAACTGGTGACCAATTCTGCTTCCTGAGAAGTTGCTTAACTGTTCCCACTGAAATCAGTGGGACTGAAAAGTGTCCCCAATCTCATTTGGCTTCTTGGATAACGTAAACCACAGCACTCATGAATCATGAATTACAGACTGTGGTTAAATGAGATCATGTAGTGTAGAAAGGCATCCCGCTGGAATCAGAAGCAGCAGCCACCACTTCCTTTGGGAACTACTAGGGCCCATGGTGAATTACTGTTATAACTGTTGCATTTTGTCTCAACTTTGTGTGGACTTTTTCATGCTAATTTAAGGATGCTCTTATAAACCATCTGCAAGATTGCATGCACCCTAATCAAAGAAAAGTGGTACTGGCATTCAGTATCCTGAAGACACTACCAATAATATAATAATATTTCAGAGCCTTGATGGAACTATGATATTTCTATTCTTATACATGCTACACAGATCCATTCTCTTTATCCCACCATGGTTTTGGTCAAAGAGGTTTGCAGGTTTTGAAGAGACTTCAATGAGCTAGGAAAAGTGAACATCTGTATCACAATGGATTTGTCACTTTCCAAATCTCCCTGATGCTATTTTCTGTGCCTGGGCACAAAAATACCACAATTGGCCAGTACCATTTCATGTACCCATGCCATCCATGTCATGTAAAGCACAGTTAACCAATGTTTTGTCAGCTACTGTAGGCCTACAACTCCCATTGTTCCTGCCTATTGGGCCATAGTTTCTGGGGTATGACGGGAGCTGAAAATCTGGAGAGCTTTGTTGACTACCCTGGAGGTAAAGTGATGATCCATGAGATGATCCACATTGCTCCACTTCCAGAGACTAGGAAAGTCTTATGTAACAAGCTTGGTGTGTGAGGGTGGCCTTAGGCGACCTTATATGGGAGAAATCCAGCAAATGCCTTTCCTCTACCACCAGAGGACTTGTGTAAAATCCAAATGTAAAAATCCCTTTTCTCCAAAGCTCTTGAGAACTAAGAAGGAAAACAACACAACTCACTGTCGCTTTAACAGTGCAAGAAGAAATGGTTGTTGAATCTCTGATAAGCTTTTTAATTTTTTTATTTTGTAAAATGTGTCAACCACTTAACCAAAAGGTCTCCACGCAGCATACATGATTTATCAATAAAAACAAGTATACATAACTAAATTATTGCTGAAATAAATAAGTTCTTAGCAGGCTGTCTAAATCAATATAGCAGGGAAGTTCCAAAGCATAGTTTTAATTCGAACATTGATTAATATTTTTTAAAAAATAATTGGTTTTTTAAAAAAGTTTTTAGTTGTCTTATTTTTATCTGTAAACCGCCTTGAGTCCCTGTCAGGGAAGAAGGTGGGGTATAAATAAATATAACAACAACAGCAACAACAACAAGCGCTGCAATTTTCAAAGAGCCACTCCAAACAGTTATGCAGCAAACTTTATATGTCACTCTTAAAAGTGCAAGATTAAGGTGGGTCAAATCAAAGTCATTGGGAGAGGGAGAGTAATGAGCATCAGGCTATCCATAGCACTCTATGGAGGTAGAGAAACTGGCAGATGGAAAGGACTATCACTAAGAAGTCACTACCCTTAATTCCTCCTTTTCTGAGCAGCATATGATCAATCTGCCATACTTTTCATAAGACCCCTCTCATATTTTCTCCTGTCAAAGAACTGCTTCGCAAGGTAAAGGTGCAAGAGGTTCCTACTCCACATTGCCTCTTGAACTCAGAGATCCTTGAGAAGTGGGAGCTCTCCTGCCTCTCCTGGGGGTCCCCGGCACCACCAACACACCCATCCACAAACAAACAAACAAACAGAATGGAGCTTTCCTGCTTCAATCCATCTACCATCGACACTGTCAGAAGATGGTTTGCATTATTTTTCAGAGCCACTCAATACCCGCTTCCTCCTCTCTGAAAATAAAACACATTTCCTTTCCTCCCAACCCCACTGTTCACGACCCCCCTCCCCAAACCATGCATGTACACAACTCTGGATACATGTGTCAGATGAAGTCTGCTTTTTAAGGTGCCACAAGACTAAGAGGACTGCCCCTCTCGAAATCCCCACAGGAGACATTCCAGGGTTTTTTTTGTGTTGTAAGAAGTCCACCTTCCCAGCTTATGCACACAACCATTTGCGTATACTCGAAAAAACAGGGCTAGCTCAGTCAGTAGGAACATGAGACTTTTAATCTCAAGGTTGCGTGTTCCAGCCCCACTTCGAGCAAAGAGATTTCTGCATGGCAGAGGGTTGGACTAGATGACCATCGTGGCCCCTTCCAACTCCATAGGTAGCTAGTCTATGCACCAGGTAAGCCCCTGAGGGTCGCCCTGTATTTACATTACTCCCTTCCCTTCGGAAATGCAAAGGATGCTGCCAAGAGCTTTTCTCTTGCTGTACGGATTGCAACCCCCATTGCTGCCGCTGCTATTGCTACTTACCTGAGCTCAAAGTTTCCCACAGACATTCCTCAGGTAGGAAATCGCCTACGGGGGGGGGGGTTGGGGTGTGTGGAAAACCACACTGCTCCAAATAACTCCCTCCCCGCTACCGGTACAAACCAGGGAGCGGATTTACCTGCCCGCAGCCGCTGTGGCGACAAGTTGGCAGCGCCCGCCTCGTCCGTCGGACTTCTTGCCTCGGGAGCCTGAAAACCAAGTTAGGCAGGAGTTTATTACGGCGCGGAAACCTCCCCTGCCGCCGCCGCCGCCGCTCGTCCCAGAGATGAAGTCATCCCCGGCCGCTTTTCCACCCGCGTCTCGCCTCCTCGGCCGGCGGCTTGGGCTCTCGCCGTCGCGGGGGCCCGCGAGAAGCCATGCTGGGTCAAGCGGGAGCCATGCAGGTGCGCCGTCGCCTCCAGGCTGCAGCAGCGGGCGGGCGGGGAGGGAGGGAGGGAGGCACGGAAGGAGGCGGGGGGCGGGCGAGCCCCCCTGAGGGAAGGCGGAGAGGTGAGGAAGAGCCCAGCGGGAAGCAGAGGTGGGCAAGGGGCAGCGGGAGGGCACAGCGGCCGGAGAACAAGCGCCCCCGGGCGCGCCAGAGGCGACGGAGCGGCCGGCTGAAGGCGCCGCGGCTGCGGGGAAGGGGTCTCCCGAGGCGCGCGCCAACCCTGCCCTGCCCGCGGGGCGCACCTTCCGCGCCTCGCCCGGGAACACGCCGCTTCCCGCGCCGCGCTTCTAGAACAGCCTTGGCGTTTCCAGCCGGAGCTGCGCTTCCCCCGCCCCTTTGGCGGAGGCCCTCGGCGTTCTGCGCTCCGATTGAGCGGCTGCCACGTCGGAAGCCCCGCCTTCGCCCGGCACGGAGAGAGCGCTACCGTAATGCTCCCAATAGCCGACGCCTCCCCGGCGATGATGAAGCCTGGACGGTGTTAGAGCTGTGCGCTCGACACCCTCCCCGAAACGCGCGCACCCAAGCAGCACCCAACTTGTCAGTGCGACGCCTCGTTGCCTAGGACGTTTAGAGCACCGACAAGAATTAGACGCTCTTGTTTGATGGGAACGACAGTGAGATTGAACGCATTATTGGCAAGAAAAAGAAGGCCTTTCAGATCTGGCAAAGAGATAGAAACATTCGCAGGAAAACCCAAATGCTTCTTTACAAAACTATTGTACTACCAATTTTACTGTATGCTTGTGAAACATGGACCACTTATAAGCATCATCTCCAGCTCCTTTATTCTATCAACGGTGTCTCCGAAAAATTTTACATACCACTTGGGAAGACAGGCAAACTAATGCCAGTGTAGTGGAAGAAGCAAAGATCACCAGTGTCAAAGCAATGTTTCTTCAACATCAACTTCCTTGGACTGGTCGTGTTGTGTGGATGCCTGATTATTGTCTTCCAAAGCAATTATTGTCTTCCAAAGTACCTCGGGTTACATACGCTTCAGGTTACATACGCTTCAGGTTACAAACTCCGCTAACCCAGAAATAGTACCTTGGGTTAAGAACTTTGCTTCAGGATGAGAACAGAATTCGTTTTCTAGTGGCGCGGCGGCAGCAGGAGGCCCCATTAGCTAAAGTGGTGCTTCAGGTTAAAAACAGTTTCAGGTTAAGAACGGACCTCCAGAATGAATTAAGTACTCTATTCCCAACTTAAGAATGGAAAGCGTAATGCTGGTGGTCAGCAAAAGAGGTTAAAGACTCTCTCAAGGCGAATCTTTAAAAGTATAGCATAAACATCGACAATTGGGAAACACTGGCCTGCGAGCTCTCCAATTGGAGAACAGCCTTTACCAAAGGTGTCATGGACTTTGAAGGTGCTCAAACTCAGGATGAAAGGGAGAAATGTGCAAAGAGGAAGGCACGCCTGACAAAGCCTCACCATGATCAACTCCTGCCCAGAAACCTATGTCCCCACTGTGGAAGGAGGTGTGGATCCAGAATTGGCCTCCACAGTCACTTACAGACTCACTGTTTAGACTGTGTTCATGGGTGGACATTAGAAAGTGTTTCCAGAGATATTTTAAAAAACTATATACCCAAGGGCCGCAAGACGAAGTCGAGATTAAACAATTTTTGGCAAAAAATGGATTATCTAAACTGTCACAAGAAAATAGGACAATCCTGAACTCTAAAATAACACGACAGGAGATTGAACAAGCTATTCAGAACATGCAACTTGGCAAGTCTCCAGGGCCAGACGGGCTGACCTCCAAGTATTATAAGACACTAAAAGACTATTTGATACAACCCTTGATGGAGGTTAGCAATGAAATTATGGAGGGGAAGAGGGCACCGGATTCGTGGAAGGAAGCGTTTATCACATTGATACCAAAGTCAGAAGCTGAAAAGACACAACTGAAGAACTACCGTCCCATCTCCCTTTTAAATGTGGATTACAAAATATTTGCAGATATTTTGGCAAGTAGATTTAAAAGTTTTAAATGAAGTAATTCATAAGGACCAGGCCGGTTTTCTCCCAGGTAGACATCTGTTTGCTAATACAAGGAACATTATTGATATCTTGGAACTTCTCCAAACTGACATAAATACAAAAGCAGTTTTAATTTTTATAGATGCGGAGAAGGCCTTTGATAATATTTCTTGGAAATTTATGATGGGAAACTTAAAAGAGATGGGAGTGGGACGGGGTTTTGAGAATGGGATTGAGGCGATATATTCAGAACAGAAAGCTAAACTGATAGTGAACAATGTGGTTACAGAAGAGTTCAAAATTGAAAAAGGGACACGACAAGGCTGCCCTATTTCCCCTTTGTTATTTATTTCGGTTCTGGAAGTGCTATTGAACATGATTAGAGGGGACCAGTTGGTGGAAGGAATTCAGGTTGGTCAGAAACAATATAAACTAAAAGCTTTTGCAGATGACCTGGTTTTGACCTTGCAGAAGCCAGAGCCTAGTACGAAAAGAGTATTACAATTGATTAATGATTTTGGTCGGGTGGCGGGATTTAAATTAAATAAACAGAAAACCAAGGTTTTGGGAAAAAACTTGACTGAGACAGAGTCAGAACGGTTTCAGAATGAGACGGAACTTAATGTGGTTAAAAAAAGTAAAATACCTAGGGGTAAACATAACAGCAAAAAATCTAAGTCTATTTAAGGATAACTATGAAAAATGTTGGACAGAAATTAAGAGAGACTTAGACAGTTGGTCAAAATTGAAACTTTCTTTGTTAGGCCGAATTGCTGCGATTAAGATGAATGTATTGCCAAGAATGTTGTTTTTATTTCAAACACTTCAGGTTTTGGACAAAATGGAGTGCTTTCAGAAGTGGCAGAGAGACATTTCGAAGTTTGTCTGGCAGGGCAAAAAGCCCAGAATTAAGTTTAAGATACTAACTGATGCAAAACAAAGAGGGGCTTTGCCCTGCCGGACTTAAAGTTGTATTACGAAGCCGCAGCGTTCTGCTGGCTAAAAGATTGGCTACTTCTTGAAGACACTGATGTGTTAGATTTGGAAGGGTTTAACAATGTTTTTGGATGGCATGCATATTTATGGTATGACAAAGTTAAAGCAAATAAGGCCTTTAAGAACCATATTGTTAGAAAATCACTGTTTAATGTCTGGACAAAATATAAAGACTTGCTGGAAAATAAAACACCAAGGTGGCTTTCACCTTTGGAAGCTAAGGCCCGAAAAAGACCCAATATGGAGGCCAAATGGCCAAAATATTGGGAAATACTAGAAAATGATGGAGACAATTGGAAATTGCAGAGTTTGGAGAAAATGAAAGACAAAGTGCGAGATTGGTTACATTATGCTCAGATTAAAGAAGTTTTTAAAAATGACAAGAAACTAGGGTTCCAGGTGGAGAAATCGAAACTAGAAACAGAATTGTTAGAACCAAAGACTAAGATACTTTCAAGGATGTATAACTTGCTGTTGGAATGGAATACACAAGATGAAATGGTTAAATCGGCTATGATAAGGTGGGCACAGGATATTGGGCATAATATTATGTTTGAGGACTGGGAAAGGCTGTGGAGTAATGGATTGAAATTTACTGCATGTAATGCTTTGAAAGAAAATGTAATGAAAATGATTTATAGATGGTATATGACCCCAGTCAAACTTGCAAAAATTTACCACCTGTCTGATAACAAGTGTTGGAAATGTAAAGAGTGTGAAGGAACGTTCTTTCACCTCTGGTGGACCTGCCCTAAAGTGAAGGCGTTCTGGGAAATGATTTATAATGAATTGAAAAAGGTATTTAAATATACTTTCACTAAGAAACCAGAGGCTTTCCTTTTGGGTATTGTCAGCCAAGGGGTGGCAAAGAAGGACCAAACACTTTTTATGTATGCAACAACAGCAGCAAGGATACTACTCGCAAAACATTGGAAAACCCAAGATCTACCCACACTGGAAGAATGGCAGATGCAACTGATAGACTATATGCAACTGGCTGAAATGACTGGCAGAATCCGTGACCTGGGAGAAGAGAGAATCGAGGAGGATTGGAAGAAATTTAAGAACTACCTACAAAAACATTGTGATTTGACTGAATGCTGAATAAGATGCTTGACTAAATAACTGAGCACCACTTAACCTAGAAGTTTTTAAGAAAATAAGAAAAACTGTGAAAGTTTAACTCTTTATGAGAACTATAAGATCATGAAATATCGAAGAGATATAAGAATTTAAATAAGATGATAAATTGCTGACAAAATGTTATAATGATGAAGGTGGGAGCGGGAGATGTGAGGAAGTCCAAAGAAAATGTGAAATTATGTTAAGACGAATGTTATATTGTTTATTACATTTATTCCTATTGTAAAATCCAATAAATTGCTTTAAAAAAAAAAAAATAGACTGTGTTCATGGAAGACAATCTTACTCGGCTATGAGTGATCGCCAAAGAAAAAGAGATGCTCTTGTGGGGGTGGGGGGGCGTTATCGCATTCTAGGAGGCAGAGCTGGCCCACCCATGAGGCAAGGTGAGGCGACCGCCTCAGGCAGCAGGACCCATGGGGGCAGCAGATATTAATCTAGACCTTTGTAGGAGGTCAGGTAGGAGCAAGGGGCAAAGAGACAGGCCTAAAAAAAGCACTGCCAAGTGTGCTGGTGGAGGGTCATACTTTTGTATCTGAACTGCAAGATGTTGTCCTGTGTGCATGTCATTTTTTACCCTGCTAGCCAGAAGGGAGAAGTCTGTTGTGTTGTGTTTTCACCTCTCTCTCTTTCTAACTGGTGTGGGGATCAGGGTGGCATTTGAACATGAAGCATAGAATTGCGTTTTGAACATGTGCTCCAGGTGTCATTCTGCTGCCTCCGCCTTCAGTGAAGTTATCACATTATAAACAAACTGACAAGTGAACTGATTGAATGCTCATGTTAACAGACAGGTCTCACTTTAG